CAAAACCCTAAAGCCCTCAACTCGACCGAGGCCGCCGCAGCAGCCGCGTTTGCGAGTGTCCGCCTCGGGCACGAGGAGTCGCCACGCTGGAGCGGGGCCGATTCCTGGGATGCCTAGGGTTTTATTCTGCGCCGTACAAGGTTCATAGGTTTTTCATCTACATCAAAGAGTATATAGGGTTGAGCTTCATAGGGCTTCATCATCTACAGGGTTAGCAGGGTTTGCGGTTTTTTATCGGGTTACTCGGAGTAGGGCTTCGGGTTGATTATCGGGCGAATAGGGTTTTGGGATGCTAAGAGGTCTTCCATAAATGAAGAGTAGGGTTTCGGGTTTAGGGTTTCTTCCATCTTTAAAGAGTAGGGTTTAGGGTTTAGTCTTTCCATAACTTAAGGGTAGGGTTTAGGGTCGAGGGTTTGTTTCAGAGATGAAGAGTAGGGTTAAGGTTTAGGATCTATTTCCATAAGTACAGAGCAGGGTTTCGGGGCTTCTGCCATAAATGTAGAGTAGGGCTTAGAATCTATAGGGCTTAAGGTTTAGGGGATCTTCCAAATATATAGAGGGGGCACCCTCAAGAATGAAGCCACGACAACCACAGGGCCCCCACAGCTTTCATGGCAGCTGTGGAACCCAGACCTTCCAAAACCCCTTAATTAAGGAATATACCTTAAATTATAGTAGGATCCTTAATATGATTTAAGGTATATTCCTTAATTAAGGGATTTTGGAAGGTCTGGGAAACAGGTTTAGGGTTTACCTAAATGGTCAACTGCAAGAAAGCACTGCACAGCAAATGATCTGAGACATACATGTAGTTGCTGATTTCCCTGGCCTCATAACAAGGCACCTCGAGGAGTACTATTCGTACATATCAAGGCCCCTGTATTAACCTGTGACATATGGTAAGAATTACATGTAAAATGCAGAGCTTAAGCGCGAGCTACTCACCTACGAAGAAACTCCAACCGACCTCTATGACCCCTATCGCCTTATGGCCTCAGATATGCCTTGCAAAAGGAGCCTTTAGGACCCCTGCAGTGTTCCCTTGCAGAACCTTTGTAAATCCCTAGCCCAAACAAACCGCTACGGGTCATCTGGTCTTTGGGACAGAGTATACGTAGACCTGAGGAGAGGATGTGGAGATGGCAGGTCCAGGAATGAAGGATTGAAGAACTTGTCTGGTTTACAATTTCGGGATTTTATTGCGATCGGGGTTAGGCATGAGGGCATCGGATTTGGAGCAATGAGGCTTAGGGCTTCACTTTTCGGGGGAGCTCTCGGCCAGTTTTGGAGTTCCCAGACCTTCCAAAACCCCTCAATTAAGGAATATACCTTAAATCATATTAAGGATCCTACCATAATTTAGGGTATATTCCTTAATTAAGGGGTTTTGGAAGGTTTGGGTTCCTGGAGTTCGCCACTTCAGGCGTGAAATCCAAAGCGTCACAGTCAAGAGAAAGTCGATCATGCCGCTAAGGCCCGTGCTGCTTGCTCGCCGAGGGTGTGGGGACGCCTTATGGCCAGGAAGCTTAAGACCAGAGCACCTCGTACCCACGAATTTGGATTGAAGGTTTCCAACATATACATGCTTGGGCTTTGGATGGTAGTTAGCAGTTGCAAGCTAGGCGGTTGAACAAGAGAACTTGAAATTAGACTTGCACTTCTTGCAGTTGCAGCATCCGCTTCCCCCGATAATGAAGTTCAACAAAACTGCTGTCATACTTTGGACCCGAGGTGTAGGCCGCTGGCCTTCTATTTCGGCTTCAATTCAAGGTTCTATGGCCTAATGTGTCTGCTTGTTCGTTTAGAATTCAAGAACTTGGATTTCGGGCCTGCCAGGTTTGATATCCCAGGTCCCTCAGGAATCCTTGAAGGCCCCTCTTTTATCTCTGAAACTGGTGTTCTAGCAGGAGCCCCAAGGCACAAGCGGCAACTTAGCAGGGCAATGCATAACATGGAGGTGTGAGTATCCACAAACGACCGCCGCGTGTAGTCCGTGTGTAAGTTTCCATAACCAAGCCCAAGACACTATTCTAGTCATGAAAGTCCATGTCTTGCATAGACCACTTCTAGAACACGCAGAAAATTTACAGGTCCGTCGTCAGGCTAGGAAGGAAGACAATACTAATCAAGGACACACCAAACACCAAACACCAGGGCGGACAAGCTGCAAACATGATACCCATGCCTTACATGCATGTCCACTTGGCTACGTGTCTTGCTCTTCGGACAAAGATTGAACTACAACCCATATAAGCTTGCTCAACAACGGCAATGCCAACACAAACATCCGACCTCTGCAGGCACCAAGATAGGGCCGTTTTCACCGGCTCATTTCGAAGGATCCGTTGGGGGGTCTGGGATCGAGTAGACTAATTACATATCTCTTCAGATGCCGGGAGAATAGAACCGTCAACGGGATCACCAAAGCAGCCTCCCCCCCCCTCTGCCCGAGTCGCAATTGGGTATTCTCGGCTACACAGACGGTGCTTCACATGACACCACCAAAAGGATTGCTTCGGGTGTTGGACCTTGTGTGTTCCTGGTTCGGCTTTTGCGTTTTGGCTAAACACTTTACTCAAGGACTGCCTGGCTGAGTCGTAGAACGTCTCAACCGTTGCGACTAACCCCAAATCAAGCACTGAACCTCAAGCACTAAATGCGAAAGCTAGCATTGCAGAGCTGCACTTGATCCCAGATCCTAAACCCCAGATACTACACACCCCGGCCGGGAATACCAATTCCCAGGCCCGAAACTTCTTTGTCCAAGTTCGGCACTCGAAGCCATCACGGAGTCGGGCACCCCCTGTGTTTCGGCCCAGGTATGATGTATAATGCGAGTTTACACTGAAGTGAAGGACAGGCTATACACTATACATGCCAGCATTCTCACAGGAAAATAACAGGAGATTTCTGAAATGGACAACGTCGAGGATACGGATGTAAGTGCCCTGAACTTCGAAGTACACTGCCCCAGGGCACACAGTTCCTGAGGGTTTAGGGGGTGGGGGCCGCAATATCTAGTAATGTAGTCATACAGTCTGCCACCCAAATCCCCTCGTTTACTTGGAGGCATGAAGGAAGACCCATCCTTAGTCCTTCATGTTCATGAACATAAGAACCCTGAAATCTAAACCCGAAGCTCTGAAACGACGGCGTCCCGGTGTGAACAACCTCTCCGGGCCGCACAAAGCCACAAAAAAACAGATGGAAGCGCCAAAAGTTTGAAGCTCTCCCATTGACTACATGAACGTACAGTGTAACCCCTATGTTCCCCATACGGGAGTTGCTGCAATCAGGGAGTCTGTTGCAGATGCAGACCCCTTGTTTGGTAGTAGAATCCTTCATGTAGCAAGCCCGAACTGCGACCCCAAGTCTCAAGAACACTGAAAGTTGCGTTTATCACAAGCTGCATATTTTTTCCACTATAAGCTACAGGAAAGAACCAAATCAAAAGACCGGTCTGAAAGCCACCATACCATAAACGAAACGAAAAGTCCACAGTAGACCTCCATAATTACATAATTACATCTATATATGTACATACATGCATACATAAATACGAGCATACGTACATATAGTCGAATATGTAAGTGTGTATATATATATATGTATGTATGCATGCATGCATGCATGGATGTATGTATGTATGTATGCCTATATACATCTGCACCTACATCGTTGCATATTCTATATGTATACACATATACATACGTATGTATGCATGTAACAAGACAAAAAACACAAATGCATGTCTTGAATGAAGGTCCCTGGATGCCGACCTTGTCGCTGCAGCGCCAAGCAGCTGTGACCAATGTCCAGATCCGCGCGCTACGAACACAAAGAAAAGAGCCCTAGATAAGTGTTTCTATTTTGTTTGGAACCTGGGATATAAGAAAAGAGCCCTAGAAACTTCTATTTTGTTTTGGAAACTGTGATATGGGGTTGAGGCGAAGACTCCAACTTTGTCTATGAGTGCTGAAATGAGGCTCGGGATCTAGAGGCGGTAAGCTCTGATCTGTGGAATCAAGGTTCTGACATCAATCGAAACAGAGACGTCTGGCACATATTCTGGATCCAGTATGCCTTGAGCACTTGCCGAAATGCTGGGTACAGCCTCCCGGCCACAATGTCCGACTGTTGAGCCAGGAGCTGGTGGGGAAGGTTTGTGTCTCCCGTCAGTTGAATACCTGTTGGCTCATGTATTTGGGTTTTCTTAGCCTCTTCACATGTTGGTGCTTTGGCTGGGCCTCCATTGCTGTGCTCTCATGACTTGCACCGTGCAATGTATCAGGATTGTCCTTACTGCTTCCACGCCACAGCAAGTTGCCACTACCAGCAGTACGCTATCCTACGCAGGGCTTCTGTAAAGGAAGCCGCTACTAGGAGGGGCTTTTAAAGCCTTTGAAAAATATTAGTAGGTAAGATCCTCTTAAGCCCAATAAGAGAAAATATAAAATGTCCCAAAGCCCAACCTAGGCTACAGGGATCTACTTTCTAGATCCTGCCCAAGGCTTGAGTTTTTCCAGCGAAACACGCAGGGCTCCGATAGAGGTCGGATCAAATGTCCCCAGCTTTGCTGGCGGCTCAAACGAACAGACCACAAGAAGGGAGCCGAGCGAACGTTTTCTGAGATTCTCAAGGGTGCGAGGCTTTAGGTAGGGCTTCAGGGCGGTTTAGGGTTTAGGGTTTAGGGTTTAGGGTTAGGGTATAACGGTATAAGGGTTGGATGGTGAGCATGGTGGGGCTTGTGGTGTAGGGTTTCAGGGTATCGGGAGTGGTTCAGAATCCACGTCCCCAATTCACGATCCCAGGATACTTAGGGCACTTAAAGGGCTACCTAAGGATTCATGAAACGCGCAGAGCTTGGGGTCTAATACCTGAAGACAGTGCGTGGTTCTAGGTTTAAGGAGTTTGGGTTTGGGGCATTCATGACACTGACTCGGCCGGGCGTGGGATTCCCACAGCGAGAGACATGATGAGAAGAAGCTGCATCATGCAGTTCAGACAACCAAACTCACCAGGTGGTCCGTCGCACCCGCCACCTGTTGGAATTTGCACTACAACATGACATCGGAAAGGGAAATGCGACATCTTACGTCGCATCCCAATACATGTCAGCATGTTCACACAATGTCATTTCGTCTTAACCTCAAGCCCTCCCTTAAGATACGATTCAGGGGTTGAGGGTGAGCGGTTGTCAGCAATTTGTGAACACCCACCCTGAACCTCAAATGAACCCAGAAACTCCCGACGTCTGAATCATTTAGATAAGGGCTCGGACTTTGGGATAACTAGTGACCTGTGCTTGTATCATGAGATATGGACTGTGAGGGGTGCAATTTCTAGCTTGCCCCTTCTGTGGGAACTTCCCGACCCAGCTGTTGAACAGCCCTTGTGGTCTACAGTCGAAGCTATCAGTTTCCAGCAGACGGCGATTTCAGAAACCTAAGAAATCTTGAGAGTTACGAAGTTTCACACTTACAAAACCAGCTGCGAAGTTGGAGCAAGGGTCATGTCTTGAGTCTGCACTGCTCCAGCTGGGACCCTACTATTTCACCCCCCTACAACGGTTCACTCTCTCTCTCTCTCTCTCTCTCTCTCTCTCTCTCGCTCTCTCTCTCTCTCTCTCTCTCTCTCTCGCTCTCGTGCTCTTGTACATATATACTTATATATATATATATGTATCGATAGAACCCTCCCTCTTATCCCTAATCGCAACGGACCTTCTCCAGGACACCAACGCTCTCCCCCTAACAATCTCTACCATCCGCACCAACAGAATGGATTGTTTTGGAAAATTGGGAACCCCGGCTTAAACCCAACATTGCAGGACAATTATATATATATATACACTAATATACACACGTATTTATGCATATGCAATGAGCACCTTCCCAAGCTTCGCCCCTGAACTTTCAATCCTGGCAGCACCTTGCGGTTGTAGTAGTCCTGCTCAGGATGATACATTTCGCGCTCAGGGTTGTCAGGTATTTGGGGTGTCGGGCTTTGTGGCTTAGATTTTCGGGAAAGGCTACTCAACACATATCAAGCTGCCCAGAACCACGATGATGCCCCTCCAAACCCCCAAGCCATAGTACCTAAGAGCGCCCTAAACGTCCCTGCCTCGGCACCTTCGCCTATCTAGGGCTGCTTGTCGGCCGAACAGTTTTGAAGTAAGTAGCTAGTAACTCGGGTTTTGAATGGTGGCGCTACAGTTTATGGCTATCATGGGCTTTGTATGCACCTTCGGTAAATTATGTCAGGGAGTCTTACAAAAATGTTGCCGTGAACTTGGGTCCTATGTACGCGCGGGCCCTACTTGGATCTTCTTGAACATAAAACGTCTGGAACCCTTGTACATCTCAGAGAAGCCAAAACTATTTACATAAGACATATATTCAGAATCCCTCCATAGTCTAAGATATATAAAATACCATGCATAGCGTATTGTAGGGGCCTTGGAGTCTCTGGGGAGCCCTCCAAAAGACCCCTTTGCTGGTGGGACCCTTGGAGCCCTGTCCGAACCAGGCTCCCGGCCTCTACAACCCTCAACCCTGGTTCCTGAAACTCGTTAGCACGACACATTTCTTTGTTGCCATAACCGATGGGTCGATGGTCGTAGATACTCCTCGAGCATCCCATAGTAACACTTATAGACCCCTAACAGGCTTCATAAAAGCTCGTCTAAGGAAGTTAAAAACAAGTTTTGGTTTCGCGGTTCTGATTATGAGGCTTTGGGGAAGTTGTAGGAGTATGGGCACAGGTGTTTGCAAAGGTTCTCACAGGAGTTGTTTTGGGAGTTAGAAACCAACAGCGCGTTTAGGGGCTCAGAAATGCCTTGAACAGAGCCCTACACCGGCTCCTGGTCGAGCCACTTGGGCCTGGCGAAGCCTTTGACCCGGAGCGCCCGCTCCGCCTGGAGGAGGCCTCGGCGCTGCTTTGAAGGGGCTTGTGGCACAGGGCGTCCGTGGGTTTCTACAGGGCTTTTATTTGGCATGAGTTTCTACAGGGCTTTGATCGCATTTCGAAAGGATGTTTAAAGCCTACATCAATTTAAGTTGCTTTTGTTGCTCGAACTCTGCTTGAAGGACATAAATACAAACTACAAGAAGTAGAACCTTTCCCCAGCTTGAACAAAAACATGGCTCTGGGGTTTAGCGCTTCGGGCTTCTGTGTGATTCCTTTCGGCCCACGTCGAAGAGGTTGGGCTTGAGCACTGTTTGCAATGCTTCTACGGTTATAAAAGTTTTCTAGGACGGAGGGTTGGTATGGTCTCAAAATCCCGAGTTTCGCGTTTCCGTAGCGTGGTGGCATCGGGTTGTTGTAGCCGATGGTTTTGAGTGCACGGTTGAGGGCTTTATGGTTGACAAGTTTAAGGAGGTTTACGGTGCGTTCTGTACAGGAAACGGAACCATTTGAAATGAATTTTCAGAGCGCATACGAACTGGGTCTCATGGGAACTGGTGAGCACTCAATCCTGGAGACCCAGTAGCTGCACCTCAACAGCCCTACACCCCACGCCCGAGCTTCGAGTTAAAACCTTTCAGAGACTCAGCAATTATGTTGTGGGGCAGTTACCTGCGAAACCCTTCACTGGATAACGCGCATGCCCTAAGGCACCTTTGGAGAAAACATGTGGCAAAATTGTCGGCCACCAGATCTATTCCTCACCGAAGCGCGCAAGTTCTCAAGGACTTTCTCCTGGAACCCTCTGCCGTTCAGAACGGCAATATCGCGCGCACAGTGGGCAAGGACCTGTTTTGCACCGGATGGCAGTGCACGCAAATTCGGAGTCCTGTCCGAGACAAAATCGATTCGCCGGACAGCATGCTCATCGACTTCGCCCAGGCTGCCGAGGCCATGGGAGAGCGCTGTGGTCATAAGGCTCGTCGTTGAGCTGCATCATGCTCAGCACGGTCGCCGTAGCAAGTCGGCTGCCAAGCACAAAGGTGCATTTGAGGAAGGCGCGGGCACGCGGCCTACCCCCGGCCATCCTGTCCAAGTTTTGAACAGCCTTTGGCATGTGAAATTGAAATTTTGCGGGTCATTCTAATTTGGCTTCGAGTTCTTCGTTGCCTGGTCGTCATGGTTTGCCGCAAAATCATTGATTTTGTGCACCAGCTCAAGCAAACATGTAATTACACCTGGGAGTTCGCCGTCCGCCTGATCCGTATTCGTATAGTTGATGGCAATGTCAATCAGATCCACGGCTTCCGTAAAGGCAACACCATCTTGAGGTGACACAACATATCTGATTATCTTCTCTGACGGTATGTCGCCTGCAATATAGCATGCAGAGCAGGGGTCACAATCAGGAGGTGACACAATCAAACACAAAACGAAGCCCTCTGCAAGTTGGTCGGCCGTTCACAGCTTTCTCCTCAAGCTCCAAACTTACAGTAGGTGGAGATCCATACTATCGACCATCTGTGAATCCGAAACCCCCAAACACTCAAACCCCTTAAACCCTATATGCCCTATACTATAAGCCCCCAAGCCGGAAATCCGTAACCATCACCACATGGGACGAGACTGAGCTTAAAGTTGACAGTCTCCTTCAAACACCAACGAAGGCTGGGTCATAGTGGGGCCTTTCGGTTCCTTTTAAAGCTTCCTTTCAACGGCTTATAGGGTTCGTGAGAGGCCGCCTGACATTCATGGCATATTTCCTGTAGAACGGTTGGCAAAACAAACCCCTCTGGAGAACCCTTACCAAAACGCTGAACCCCACGTCGCAAGAAGAAGCTTTTCACAAGACCCAAGAGGCGCGTCCCGTGATTCCACGGATGTTACATGTAAACTTTCACAAAAATCATCCAACCTTAGAATCTACTAAACCCCAAACGCGAAAGACCCAAACCCTAGGCCTGATCAGGATACTGGGCACGCAAACTCTCCTCGGCCCAATCGCCAAACATGGTCTCCGTGGTCTGGGCCACCCAGTCCTTGCTCTGAAGGCTCCAGGCTTTTTTCGGGTTTAGACAGGAATGAGGGTACGATGATGAGTGCACTGCAAGGGTAGTACACTCAGGGCGCCCTGATGAGGCCCATAAGAGGTTTAAGGGGGGGTATAGGGTGCAGGGGTCAAGGGCTTATATTCAATGGATGTAGGGATTCGGGATTTACGGGAATCACGGCTTGGGGCTTGTGGGGCCCGAGGTTTAGTGGATGACGGTCTTTTCGGGCTAAGGGCTTTGGGAGGGTGCCGGGATAAGCCAGGAACAAACAAACTCTGTCGCTGCAGGCTGCCGGTGTCCAAGATGTAGCATTTATGGTCGAAGGCCTGGGCTCAGGCCTGGATAGGCGGTGTCTCATGATGCCTCACCCTGTTGCAAACCAGGCCCAAGTCTGAGCGGTGAGGCAGGGTCGCGCATGCAGGTGTGGTACTTGTACCAGCTGTTAGCATCGGCCGTGTATGACGACCAACGAAAAGGCGAACTTCTCTTCAATTGGCTTCGTGTGCTTGTCAGCCCAGGCGGACACAGGCGGACGGCTGATTGTTAGAGACAGTAACCTACCGGAGCCGCAAGACTTGGACAACCGCGCTGGCGCAGGTCAGCGGCCAAGTCGATCATCGGCCAGGTCCAGGTCGCATCCTTGAGTCCTTGAGTCGAAGCACTGCCACCACGTCCACCCCTTTTGACCCCTCTGGCTCTGGTCGGGTAGGGGGCAGGTGGGGGGAGGGCGGGGGCTAGGGGTGGGTGGGGGAAGGGGGCGGGGGTAGTCAGTCGGTCAGCAATTGTATCTAGGTTGGCCATTTTACAGCGTCTGAGAAGTACTCGCAAACAAGATCCAAAACCCCATAAGGTTATGCAATATGTTCCAGTGACCTACTTGAGTATTCCGGAGCTACACGGTGCCCTGCAACGTGTTCTTTCTTAGAGTCTTGGGCCATGGTGTCATGCTAAAGGCTTCAGGCTTGTGGGGCCAAGTGAAGCGCGGTAATCAACACCCCCTCTGAACCGTCCAACCCTTTCCCCAAAACCTTTAAAGCAATCCTGTTTAATTATTGAACCCTTGAAAACCTATATATATATATATATGTATATGTATATGTATATATATATATATATATAGACTTATCGAATCCTTAAGCCCAACAGCCCGCATTTCCCCAATTCAACTCCAGGGCAGCGCCGAGCTCTGGGCATTGTTGGCGAGCGAAATGTCCGTGCGCCCCGGGACGGGGAACCTGAGAAGACCGGGGACTTTCGTTGGGGCTTCAAAGGATTACAGATTTAAAGGATCCTTATATCGAGGCCCCATAATGGTTCATAACCCCTGGGTTCCAGAAACCGCAGCGCCGAAATCTCGTAGCTCTGGCAGCTCTCCGGTTGTGGGAAGTCGGATGTGAGGCTCTCTTGTAATGATGAAACTGCCTAGTGAGATTAAATGGGGGTTAGGGGTGAGGGATTGAGGGAGTTGGGCTATCTGATGTGTCCGGAGTTCACCTTGTTGATTACGGGGTAAGGCGAACGGACTTTAGTGGTTTTGCGTGTTTGGGCTCATGGTTTCTGGTCCAGTTTTGCTATTCAGGTTTCCTAACGAATATATCACTGCATGCGAGCCCCTTGAACCCTAAGCGCTAAAACCTAAACTCCCTCATGAAGGGCCACTTCCACAACTCTTGGAACAGAGCTTTCAATCTCGAGGTCTGGCTCCGGCGAAGGGTTTTGGCTTGTAGGGTTTATGGGGTTAAAGAGTTTAGGGTTATAGGCTTAAGTTATAGAGTAGGTTCGAGGGTGTCGGGGATTCTTGTCTCGGGCGGTGGATCTTGAGCCTGGGGCGTTTTGGAGAGAGACCTCAAACAATGGCGAGGGCTTTGGGGTTGTTTTCTACAGGCATATCGCAGGGGGTAAACGACTCAGGTTCGCGAACAAGGCCTGCTTTGCTTAAGGGCACCGCTTACCTCTTTTCCTTCAGGTTCAAGGCTTTAATACAGACTTAGGGTTGTTGCAGGTACTTACAGATCCAAGAAAGCCCAACCGAGGAGGTATACCTTATGTAAACCTTGGTTCGAGTCTACAGTGCATCTCGTCTTTTTGGGGCCCTTTAGCTTTCGGGGTTCAAGGCTTGAGGGTTGAGCCATGGGGAGTTCAGCTTTCAACCCTACTTCCCAGACCCTACAACCTTGAACTCCACTAAATTTCTCTCCAATAAGAACTAAGCCCGAACTCGTCAGATGTATAACGAGTGTAGTAACGGCAGCAGCAAGTCTTGCAAAAGCCACGAACATCTCTTGAAAGGCTCTTCCTGCTCTTGCACTCCTTTGCTCTTACATGCTTGCATCTTAACAAGTCCCCTACAATCCTAAAGCCCTACGCGCCAAAAGCGGCGACTCCCCTGTGGGCTCATACACATAAGTAAAAACCCAATACCCACACGATAAACACTGCCTCTGAACACTTTCTGAAACTTCCTTATGGGCTTAGGGTTCTACAGGGTTTAAGGTTTAGAGTACACCCCTTACGAAACCCCTCAGACACCTTGGTAACACCCCTTAAAGGCTGCTCTGGGGCTGCCACATAATTGAATCTCGGTACTCCTTCTCGGTCAGGCCCGCCACACCTGGGGGCATCTTGCAATCAGTGCTTCTTGCTGGGGGCAGAAATGAAGAAGCTACATCTTTGCAAAGATACAGGCGGTTCGGGGTTTAGGGTCTTTACAAAAAAGATGCTGCCTTTTTGGGAGTTTCCGACGATGGGGACCCTAACTTAGTACCCTCAATAGCAGGATCCTGTTCATAAGGACCCCAAAATAAGGTACCCCTAATTTTGGGAAACTCCCTTTTTGGGATGTAGTGGCTCTGCCTCAGGGGTGCCACACTTCACCCAACAAGCGTTCGTCTCGGGCTTCTGGTGTTACGGGTAGCGAGATCCTGAACGAGATCCGAACTATTGGGTGTGGAGTTTGGTGTCTTGGGGGGTTTGGGGTTTTGGAGGTTTAGGGCTTTGGGGTCTTGGCGTTTAGGGTTTGGGGTTTTGGGGCTTGGTCGGTTTGGTGTTTTGGGTTTTCGGGTTTGGTCCGTTTGGTGTTTTAAGTCTATTAAGTTCTGAAGGGTTACAGGGTGTGTCCCACCAAAACGATTTCCCCGCTTGCAGCCCAAGTTCCTACAGTTCGGAACTACACTTACATTATCCCAAACCGCGATTCTTGGGACTCTACCGAAAGCAGCTGGTGCCTGAGAAAGCTTCTGAGCAGAAAGATCTTTCTGCTCACACATCAACCTGTTTACCAAGTCAACAAGCACTTACAAGCCAAGGTAAGACGGCAGAACGCAGTCTGCTTATTTAGAAGTCTGAGCAAGTAGACGATGAGGCGCAGCAGTCTCAATGCTAGAGACGTGTCAAGGAAGCCCAGATCAACCCGCCAACAGCGGAAAGCCTCAGGCTACGTGATTGCGCTTCTTCCCTGATGAAGACTCAATATGAAAACTCTATAACGACCCCTAAACCCTAAACCCTGTAAAGCCCTACGCAGACCCTACAGAGGACCCGAAGAGTCGCGATTAAGATTTAAGTAGTTTCTTCCTTTTTAAGGGCGCCTAAATCCTAAAACCTGCCTTACCCAAAGGCCCCATAGTAGTTCCTTTTTGGGAGTACCTTATAGGATTCTGTATACGAACCCCAAGAAGGAACTACTTTAACCATGAACACCACGCCCGCTGAGGCCCCGACCGCAAGCTTTCGCGAGAGGATCGGGGCCCCCGGGTGTCGAGGGGAGGGCACTGTAGTAGACCTGGTCTTCGTCTTTCGGCTTTAGAGGAACCTTAAACCCTAAACCCTATGGATCCCTTGTAGAAAGCCCCTTTAAAACTATAGATCCCGTTAAAGGAACCCCAAAAGGTTTTGGGGTTGTCATTGCTTCAAGGATCCCTTCCTTCTTACATCCTTGGGCGTGTGGTGTCTTACGGTTTGGGGGTGAAGGATCTGCTGGCGGCTTCAAAAGGACTTAGAGGAATTGGATTCGGTTCAATCAGAGTTGATGCATGGAGTCAAGGAAGTTACAGGGTTTAGAGCTGTGGATCTGAGCTATTGCGGGGTCGACTTAAGGGTGTAGGGACTGCATCAACTGATACCGGGGTAGACTGAAATTAAAGGTCTTGAGATACGGTGTATGTATATATATATATAGAGAGAGAGAGAGAGAGGATGAGAGAGTCACAACAGCAAGTTTGTGCTGTTGCGGACCCGCGCCGGGTCTTCTCCAGCCACACACATACATGCGTACTGTACATAAAGACATGCATATGTACATACAAAAATACATACATACATACAAACATACATGCATGCATACATACATCCATGCGTGCATACTAGTGCATACATACATGCATGCATACATACATACATCCGTCCATACAAACGTACGTGCATACATGTGTACTGTACATAAAGACCTTCAAGTGTACATACATACATATAACATGCATACCTCACATAACATAATATAGTATAACAAAACATAACACACATGCCATGCATACATGCATGCATACATATTAGACACTAACATGGCATACCACAACATAACGCAACACAGCATAACTTAACATAGCAGAGCATAGCACTCATACATAGATACGCACTGCACAATAACACATGCAGGTGTACATATGCTCATAACATTTGCACATAATTAACATAACATACGATACATGTACATAGCATAACATAATATACCGTACGTTTGAGCATTATGTTGACTGGTAAAGCCAACACGTGTAAAGGCTAGCCGCAAGAATTGATTCTGAGTCTCCTGAACCTGCAAGTAGGCGAAACTCGAGGAGGTTTATCCGCAGCTTGTCGTGGCTTCTGGGGGTTGCATAGAATACTCTACGAGCTCGGGCTCTGGTGTGATCTGGGGTGCAGGGTTTGGGGTACACGGGGTTTAGGGTCTGCAAACTGCTGGTATAGGGCCGCCTTTAGGATTAAGGTTAGGCTTAGGTTTCAGGGATCAAATATGTGACGCTAAACACCAAACAAGTATCCTGTGCAAGTGAGTACACGTGAGCACGAAACAAGTATCCTGAGTAGGCGAATCAACCAGCGTGCAGCCTGAACACTGGACCTTATGCATGTATTCCACACACACAGCAGGGTTCTGCATGAAGCCTGCATGCAGCAGCCCAATTAGAAAGGCCTCTGTATGAATTTTGTTGCATCCTGCGACCCAGAGATTCTGAACTCCTAAATGCCTAAACGCCTAATACCCACCCTGAAACCTCATGGAATCCTTGCCAACTCTCTGAAGCTCTTCGTCAAAAGCCGGCCTTCGTTGGGGCAGTGTAGCCAGAGCCGGTACGATCCCAGACTCCCACCACCAAGAGCGAGGGAGGATCCTGCGGCAGGGTTTCCGCAAGGATATAAGCGCCGCAATATCTCGAGTATGGTACTGGTACGACACTACTGGTATATGAACTGAAGGGGACACTGGTACTGTGTTCTGCAACATACTATATGCGCAGTATCTCCGGTTTCGAGGTTTTTGCTGTCAGGGCGTAGGGCTCAGTGCATTGCTTTGGCGATGACTGTCCGCATGTCCCTCATTCAGTATCAACCCCTTTCCCTTATGCACCTAAAAGGTGTTGTTGAATCACGCCCCTTACCCTGCTAATCTGTCAAACCTAGGTTGGTCTGTTAAAATAACACAAGGGCTTGAAGAATCAGACTAGCTTGTTTTGAGGGGATTTTGATTTGTACAGAGAGACTTCTTCGTTACTGTGAACCTTGAGGAGCAATGAAGGCCTGAGCATACAACTGGGCTACACACAGGACATGGAAGAACGATTTTTGCGTCGGAGCATTCAACTTCCCGAAAACGCCGCCACGGAGGCCGTCCTGACCCTCTACCCAGACCTTCCAATTAATTAAGGAACATACCTTAAATCATATTAAGGACCCTACTATAATTTAAGGTATATTCCTTAATTAGAGGGTTTTGGAAGGTCTGGCTCCTAAAGCCCTAAGCCATGAACCCCTGAACCGTAAAAGCGCCAAATTTCCCAAACCGGAGCAGCCCAGGGACCCTTCAAAGGATCCAACTGCAGCCCCCTGAGAGCCTCGGAGACCTTCCTATAGTCTCCATTGTAGCACGGTTTAGGGTTTAGGGTTTAGGGTTTAGGGCTTAGGGTTTAGGGTTTAGGGTTTAGGGCTTAGGGCTTAGGGTTTAGGGTTACCCCAAAAATTACATCATAGGATGCCGTTAGGATGCCAACCTTAAAATTTCTGGTGAGCCAAAAAAGGAACTACAATGAATGGAGACTGCAGGCAATGAATGGAGGCTGTAGGCTCCCTCAAATAGGGTTACTTCTCTTAACTGCCCAAGCAGGCAACATGTGCCATCACAAATCCCGAGCTGAACCCTGAAGCCAGTGGGCCTTGGGTTGCGTGGCATTCTTCTTTTCGAAGAGATGCTTCGTCGCCTGCCCAAGCGCTTCAATCGCTCCAAATCAAGCATGATGTGGCAAGGATCTGCTTAAGTGGAAGTAATATTAACAGGCAAACTATGCATGGTAGGAGCTGAGTGAGAGACCCCTGAATAAGCAATACACTTCTCCAGTTGTACTAAACATCTTAATGACGGACCGTGCATTAGATGATCCCTTATTGAGGACAGGGCACAGGACGATGCGCTCGCGCGTACAACAAAAGGGCCAGTTCCGACCTTCAATCAAGAATATGCATAGAGATGCAATCCTAGTAAATAACCCTAAACCCTAACCCTGAAGTATTTGCTCAAGACATATGTGCAAGCTATCTGGAGCGACTGCTGGTCATGATGGCCGACGCTGGTTGGTGCAATCATGGCATGAGCACTAAACTTAAAGACTTGCAAATGAGCCCTGCTTGGAGCCCTAAACCCTAAACCCTATACCCTAAACCCTAAACCCTAAACCCTATACCCTAAACCCTAAACCCTATACCCTAAACCCTAAACCCTAGCCAGATTGCGAATGCTGGAGATCAAGGCTTGTGGGCTTCAGCGGGACTCTTTGGATTTTTCATGGTTTGAGGTCATGTTTACAAATCCCAAACAGCCCAAAAGTGGAAACACCAGGGGCCTGCAGCTGAACCATTCGTAAAAAATCTCCCGGGCTACCCAAAACAAGGAAGCAAAGGAATCCATGTGCTTTCGCGTTCACCAAGACTGAGACTGCCCCATGACTCAGGGACAGCAAAGGTCGATCCCTCCTGCAGGCTTATGCATCAAACCAAACCGTAAAAGTTGGGATGTCCAGAACTTTTGACTTCAGTCCCGAATAAGGCAGTGTGGGAGGCTGCAGTTTGAGAGTGCTTTCGGGCATTGGCCTTGTTGGAACCCCTACTTCGCATGGTCGCTCACATCCAGCTCCATAAGCAGCCACAAATGAATGCAGCCGATAGGGTGAAGCTTTAAAGCCCTAAAGCCCTAGCCCTAAAGCTCTAAAGCCCAGACCCTAACCTTAAAGACCCGAGCCTCCATGACAGCAGCGTGCAGCCTCACAAGAGTTCGTGGACACTTCTCGTGCACGGCTCGAAGACTTCAAGGCTTGATGTATTTTTCTGCATCATATTAAAAAACAAACACAGGAACACAAAAGCAGTTCTTGAACTCTACCTTCGACACAGTCTAAAGTCTAAAGTCTAAACATCGTATGACAAAAGCTATACTGTAATTTGCAAGGGAAAATCAGGAATGCCAACCCCAAATATTCAGACTCATGCATGAAACTGTTACCCCTAGCACCCAGAATCCTGAGCTCACCACACTCATAGAGTTCTAAACTCGTACGCCCTCAAAGCCAACATCTAAAATCAAACACCACTGTATTTCTCTGCCAAGCAATCGGGGAAGCAAGATTGAGGCACCACGCTTAACAACAAAAACAACACAAGAGCAGACCCGGTGTCAATATCCCAGTTGCTACCGAGCTCCGTCTGGTTTCCTACAACGCCCAAGAACCCTAGAAGTGCGCCCTAGCCTAGACCCCAAGCCCGTAAACCCAGAACATATTTCCACTATATAAATCATGAACAATGCGTCCACTCACACCCAACACTCGCTAAAGGGCCCCTTGAAGTCTCGGCATCATCGAGGACAGTATGCTAAACTCGAAACAGCCCTCTGAAATTCTCACGCAAGATGTATAATGACCTTGAGCACCCTAAACCCTATAAACCCTAAACCCTGAGGCGTAGTGACTAGCGCTCCAAGACTGAAGCCTGAAGCTCTTTCCCTTTCAACTCTCGGGGGAGCCTCGGCAGCTTGCCGGTGCTGTCCTGTTGAAGCCGGCGTCGAAACGTGAACCCATGCTTTGCTTCGTGTGGGATTTTCTGGATTTGGCGAAAGTTTGGGTTGGCTCCACAAGTTCCAAAACTGAATCGACTTGCCTCGCTTTTCCTGGGGAACTATATGTAGAGTTTTGTTTGCAGTTGGAAACTAAACGCAAGGAACCAATGGCTTGGGGCTGAAACAGTTTGGGATTGGTTTTAGAAGGTTTCATTGAGTCTTAAGAAAGACTTTACGTGTTGAAACGGTTCAGCTTTGCAAGGAAATCGAGGCCTAAGACGTGTGGCGTGTAGAGCTAAAGATTCGAAAAGCCTTGAGTGCTTGCAGAGGGAGATAGAAGGAGCTTTCAGAATCAATCGCAGGGCTTCAGCATGTAAGTTCAAGGGCTCTCATCAGATTTTGGGGCGCAGGGTTTCGGGCACTGCCTCCGAGATCCCAGAACAACGGGAGCCGGTCTGGGGGAGAGAAGCAAGATCAAAGATGTGTTACAGTAGAAGCCCAAAAGCTGGAAACCCAATAGCCTCGATCCTTAAGAGCAATTTATAGGGAATCTCCGCACTATTTGGCCTTAATCCGGTTTCCAACTTTATGGGGTTTACTGTACTCCTTGCCAGGTTCCGAAATCCATTGAAATATCTTGGAGGTCTCTTCGGAGGTCACTTGAGATCTCAATAGTCAGGGTTGGAGGACTTCGACGAGCACTGGGACACCTTGAGTAAGTCTTAACCCTTTACAGTACAGTAGAAGCCAGAAAGTTGGAATATCATTATCGTAACCCCTTCAAGGTAAATTATAGGGGATCCTACCATTAATCCATATTCCAACTTTCTGGAGTTCCCTTTAAGTCCTTAATCCGATGTCTGATTTGTAAGGCGTCCAAGCCCAGAAAACCCGTATAGGACCCTAGAAAAATCACCAACACACGAAACCCAACAAATCTAAACACAACACCGAACAGCCGCAAAGCTCTAAGCTCTACACCCCCCATTCGAACACTTGGAGCCCCCTATAAGGAACCCTAAAACCCTCAAAACCCCAACTAAATCCAGTCCAAGCTCGAAGCCCCGAGGCCGAAATTCTTCGACCCCTGTGAGAATCATGAGGTCCGTTGGCTCTTCATCCATAATTGCTATGGTTTAGGGTTTAGGGTTTAGGTTTAGGTTATAAAGATAGCCTTCCCTACTATTCTGAGAATGGGATGCTACCCCCCCCCACCTTCTCCGGTGTCAGGGTCCCCAGGGGTTCGAAGGTGCTCGGCCGAAGAGACTCGAAGAAGTCCTCTCCGTGAAGCGCTGCGTTTGAAGGCTCCGAGACTCGCTTTTGTTTTTCCCTTTTTTGAGCTCCTTGCTCCTAAAGTCCCGGGTTTAGGTTTTAGGGTTTAAGGGCTCCTATAGAATCGATTGGGGGGTTTGGGTTCAAGTTTAAGGGCTTTCGGTTTAGGGTTTCGGGGGACCGAGGAGGGTTCCTTTAAGGGTGCACCCTTTTGAGGTCTAAGAGGCCCAAGGATCAAAGAAACCAAGGAGGTCTAGGGCTTTGAGGTGCACGAGGCTCAGGGATCAGAGGCTCCACGGAGGTTTAGGCTATAGGGGGTTTAAGATTTAAGGTTTTAGGTTTGAAGCCATTAGGAGTTTTGGGCGATGATCTGCCTTTCTTTTCAGGGTTTGAGGATACAAACTCAGCCTTCAGGATGATCTTGGGCTTGGGTTTAGGAATTACTCGACCCCTCTTGCAGGGACAGCAAACCACCAAGGATCCCCTTGCACAAGGAGCGGAATCGACAAATCTGAAAGCCGAACAACAAATCCACGTGAAGAATCAAGAGCCAAATCACGCTCGAAGCTTGCGCGTAGACCCTTTCCCGCACCTCGTCATTCACCGTGGAGTAGTAAACCTGCGCATGCAAAGGAAACCCAAACCTCAGAGTCAGCTCAAAGAACAAACGATATCCAGTCGCTTCGACGGCGAGCAGGTCATGGCTCAGAAGTAGAGCCCCTGTACATTTTGCAAGTGGGAGATGCAGAAACTCAGGTTCTAGGCACCCTGTTCTTCAACCCGAGCAGATAGCTGAGTATGTACCTACATACAGCTACATGTATGTATCTATGTATCCATGTAACCAAGTACCTATGTATTCATGTATCCATGTAAACCATGTACCTATGTACCGATGTAACTATGTATGTAAGTATGTATGTATGTACGTATGTATGTAGGTAGGTATGTATGTGTGTACACACATACTTTACCCGAACACACACACACACACACACACACACACACACACACACACACACACACACACACACACACACACACACACACACACACACACACACACACACACACACACACACGCGCGCGCTCTCTCTCCCACTCTCTCTCTCTCTCTCTCTCTCTCTCTCTCTCTCTATCTATCTATCTTGGAGACTTCTTGTCCTTCCAGCCCTCTGACATCTGTGGATGTTGTTAGGCTTGCCACGTCAACAGCACATCCAGACATCGCTAGAATGCCTAGCCTAAACCCAACTTAAACTGCCGGCAAGCCCCTGCTCTTGATGGGAAATCACTCTTATGCAGACCTACTGCATAGTTTTAAGCTGGTCCTGCACGGCACTGCTGTCGCAGCCACCGTCAGCAGCCCCCCAGGTTACCACGGATCCATCACCAAGAATAGCGGCAAAAGCAACGGCAGAGGCTTGGATCTGCTGCACATTCTTCAGCTGACCCTGCACAGCACAGCCGTCACCACCACAGGAAGCGGAACCCCAGGTGACAACCGATCCATCACCAAGAATGGCAGCAAAATCGCAGCCAGCAGCTTGGATCTGCTGCACATTCTTCAGCTGACCCTGCACAGCACTGCTGTCGTCACCAAGGCCAGAAGGACCCCAGGTCACCACCGATCCATCATCAAGAATGGCGGCAAAAGCCCTCTGAGCGGCTTGGATCTGCTGCACATTCTTTAGCTGACCCTGCACTTCACTGCTGTCACCACCAAACGTAGCATCACCCCAAGTTACGCAGGATCTATCACCAAGAATGGCGGCAAAAGCCCTCTCAGAGGCTTGAATCTGCTGCACATTGTGCAACTGGCCGGCACTACAGTCGTAGCCAGCAGCACCCCAGGTCACCACTGATCCATCACCAAGAATGGCAGCAAAAGCATTTTCAGAGGCTTGGATCTGCTGCACGTTGTTGAGCTGACATTGCACAGCACTACTGTCCCCGCCACAGTGAGCAGCACCCCAGGTCACGACAGATCTATCACCAAGAATAGCAGTGCTGCACATCTTTCAGCTGATCCTGGACAGAACTTATGTCGCCCCCGAAGGCAGCATCACCCCAGGCCGCGACCGACCCATCGCCAAGAATGGCAGCACAAGCAGAATGAGTGCACAGAATTTGAACTTTGCTTACATGCAAGGCCAGCCTGTCACGTTCGTGAATCGGGAATTCGTGATCTCGGCGCGTCCGTCCAGAACGACTCCAGATGAGTCCAGCAGCCGCCCTTTACCGACTCCGAGTGCGATCTGTGCTCATTGCGTCAACGTCTCGCAGGTCTCATCCAAGCCTGCTTGCACAGTAGCTGCTTTGCCACTGAGCAGCGGAACCCTAAACCCTAAACCCTAAACCCTAAGGTCATCGACATGTCCGGGTTGCGGGTTGCCGCTTTCACGGATTCCGAACGAGATCGAAGCTTTGGAAGTGGAGACCCAAACTTTTAGTTCCTAGGGACCGAATGGAGCCATTTTCTGCGACAGGGGGCTTAAACCCCGACAAGAACAATCGGACATAAGACCCCCTCTCCATTTTCTGCTTGAATCTTGAAATCCTGGCTGCAGCGTGTGGTGTTGCGGTCTAAGAGTCCGGAGACGAGCGGAGGGTAGGATTTTGGGTTTAGAGTTTGGGGTTTGGGGTTTTAGGGTTCCGGGGGTTTAGGGTTTAGGGCTAAAACCTGAAGACTGCGTGGAGATTGATAGCACGGAACTTAGGGTACGATCGTGATCAACTAGATGCCAAGATGCAGCCAATCGAGCCCTGTATTTCAAGACCTCCGCATATAACACCCCTAGTATGGAACCATCTACAGCCCGAAACAACAACACGCCTGCAGAATCGGAACTCCGCACCTCGAGAAAGCCCCGGCAGTTGCTGCGGTCGGCATCGCAGCGAAGAGGGCCTCGTTTGCCGTTTAGGGCTTAAGCTTTAAGATTTAATGCCAGAGAGTCCATGGTTTTCGGTTTTGGGGTTTGGGATTTCGTAGGGCTTGAAAGCTTTGAGTCTTCAGTAGGATCTAGGGTATATATATATATATAGTGTAAAAGGGTTAGGGCTTCAATGGTTCAAGGTTTCGGGCTTCGGAGGGCTGCAGTTCAGGGTTTATGGGATTCCTCTTTGTTGGACCCATGATACAGACCCCGAAGGGCGAGACTAGGCTTGTAATTGGAGAATCTCGCAGGGAGGATCCAGCAGGTGGATCCCTTCAAAGGATTCTACCGTCTTGCTGATGTTGAAAAGGGCTATTGTCTTCTGGGAAAGGTTGCATGGGTTTTCAGGACCAAGGTGAGGATCCAGAAAGTGCATGAATTCCTGAACATTTTCGGTCTTGGCGGGATGTGAAGGCATTGGAGTTTGCGACCTTGGGGCTAGGCTAAGGTGCAAGTGCCTGAGGCAGTAGGCCATGGGCGATGTCAACTTATGGCGCAACATTCGGAGTTCTATTTGGAGTTCCCGGTTGGAGGTTGGTTTACTTCAGCTCGTGTATCCAAATCGCACTTAAGACAGTCGAGCGAGGGTCGACTTACTCAAGCCTCGATTCATTCAAAACGGCTGAACCACATCGGAGCCCAGCACCATCTTGTCAGCGAATCAACCTTCATGTACCTCTGTTCCCTACCGGTCCTGTATGCTGTAACAACGTCGTCATTGGCCACTTCTGTCCTTACAAAAGCTCCCATAAGAAGCTTGACCAAACCGTATAGAGCGCTATGGGCTGCAGGCGTTTAGTCGCCTGCCTGTCTGGGTTAGGGTCTATATAAGCTTGGAGTTGGGGTTATTCTGGCTTAGATTCGGAAGATTCCCACACCGTAACAACGGAAGTCTCACAAAGGTATCCTACCATGTCAAGCTTTGTCATTCTCCAACGGTTCCATGCTTGGATCCTTTTATGGTAGCAGCCAGAACGTTGGAGCGTTAGTTCTCATGCGAGGTATCGGGGATCCTAGCACGAATCTTCCTAAACCTTCGTGTCAACTTTCTGGGATGGACTATAGGGACCTCGGTTGGGGATTTAGCACTCCAGGCAAAGAACCGGGGACGTGGCCATCGTTGAAGTGAATGCCGACTGGAATGTGCTCGCTAGTGTTGACCTGCTGTTTGTACCCAAACCCTGAACCGAAAACGGTAAATCAAAAACTGCACATCAAAACCTTTAACCGCAGGCTGCAAAGCCTCCACGAGCACCCCTGAGGCAATCTACCGGGCAGGCAGTCTGCACAGACGTTGTGGGGTCTGGGGCTTAAGGGCACCCTGGTGATACGGCAAGGTCCTGAGCATAGGTACCTAAAGGTTCCTATACCAAAACATAACCCCCTAACCGCACTTTGTGCTCCAATTGCTCTACGTCCCTTCCAAGCAGCCTTGGCGAATGCACAACGCCCGTGCTCGCACACATTCATCCCGGTCCATCCGGTTGCGGGTTCGGGATGTAGCCGCTTGGGGGTATGGCGGATAAACTATGCTGTAGAGATTTAGACTTGTGGGTTTCGGGTTTAGGCTTTGGGCGTAGGGTTCACGGGTCTCGAGCTGTAGGGATCAGAGTTTATAAGCCTGAACACGAACTCCAGTATCCAAAAGGCCCCAATGTCCGGTTTGGGACTGTGCCATCTCAAAGCTGCTACTTGCCGGTGACAAGGAACCAGACATTAAGATCAAGAGCAGAACTGACGGGAGTATCGCACTGCCGGCACAAACTTACTCTACGTAGATGCGGTGTACAGGCAGTACTTGGAGGTTCATGGGTAGTTATAAGTGGCTCTATAAGTCCCCTAATATGGGTTGTAAGTATAGTTACCCGACTTGTAACCCTACTTATAACTGCCCATGAACCTCCAAGTACAGCAGAGCTGAGACTTCGGCGGGCATGAAGGCATTCTCAGGGAGCTGTCCGGCAGACTGATTCCTCGCTTGGCCCACAACCCGCTCTGAAAGCCGAGAGGTTTATGGGGGGTTTACGGCAAAAGGGAACAGTAAGCCCCAAAACCCCAAATCTAAGACCCCCTGTTGTGTATACAATCCCTGTTCGGAGCTTGATGCCCGCCCTAGCCCGGGAACCGTTCCTTCCCACAAGCCCCACTGAGCTTCGGGCTAGGCTCAGGGCCAGGGATTGTTTGATTACGGGCTGAGGCTAACGTCCTATGAAGACCTTGCCGGCCCCTCCAACTTCGGAAACTCTCAAAGAGGGGCCTGTGGGCCACAATTTGGATTCTGACTTAAACCCAAACCTGGACCCCCAAAGTATGTAGAATGATAGCCTTTTATGGGTATTGGGCAATTATTTTACTTACTTTTGGGGGTTTAGGAAGCTGTATGATGATGGGGCCACACCCTGCTGCTTAGTTTGGTGGGGTATCGGGGCGACTCGTTGCCATGCCCGGTGCGGAGGCTTTGCCACTCTGGCCCCCGCTGCAAGGGCTTGGAGTTCAGAACTTGTGGTTTCCTCTGATAGCTACTATACTATACTATATTGTATTATACTAAATTTGTTATACGATTATACAATGCTGGACTATACTATATTAGGATTGTACCTGATAGCTTTCACTCCGGCCTTGTCTTGTCATTGCGCCCTTCTGGCAGTTGATATGTGCGAACCTCGCTACACCCTAAACCCTGAAACCCCAAACCTTGACGCCCCATAATCCAATCCCTATAAGCACCAAAACCTGTCAAAAGGGCTTGGGCTTCTAGGGAAACTAATTACCAGCCCTGGCATGAGCCAGGCAGCAGCTTCGAGATCCACCAGGCATCATCGTAGAAAGCATAGGCCTGTCCCAAAGCCCCCAGAGCCCATCTTCCCACACACGGAAAAACAACCACGCGAGAAGCTCAAGTATACGATTTCATGGTTATAAACGCTTATGAAGGGGGTTCGAAGGTTTAGTGGGCTTTCGGAAGTTCTGGGCTACTACTAATTATGGTGGAACGAAGCCCAAATATCCCTCTTCCAGGTTGAGCATTGCAGCTTGAATCGGGCCTTTCAGGGTTTATGTGCACCGTCTGGGGTTTACAGTCTCGGGGTTGCGTGCCTTTGTCATTGTTACGTCTGGGATGGGGGTCTTGTGTGTTGGGTTGGCACATGACGAGATTCAGGGTTTCGGCTGCTAAGGCCGGCACTTGGTCAGATCATGTGCATGAGATGTGCCAAAAGACCATGTTCGTGATGCATCCCGTGACTATTTATTTGCGCTCCATCCCCAAACCCCTTAAAGAATCCTGCTAATCGTATGTACTCCCAACAGGTATCTTGCTATGTACTGTGTCGGGCAAGACGGTGTTACAACTCATAGCTGCCAATAGCCAAAATCATGGTGCGTTGAGCCTTGTTAAGAAATTACTCATGAGCCTTCAAGCATGGAGCCCTTAACGGTGAAACGGCTTTTACCATCGGGGAGTCTTGAAACTAAGGCAAAACGAAGGGCCGTAAAGCTTGGAATGTGGTCAATTTAGTGCAACTATACATGGACTATACTGGGGTAGCATAGGTATGCAGGGACTATAAGAAATACGATTACTAGCTATTCCCTCAACCCTAAGCCCTAAACCCGACCCCATTATTGCAGTCCCTGCGACCCTTCTACATGGCCTTGGACAGGCTCTTTCCCAGCTGGAAGCTGCCAGCCGGAAAGAAGCTGGTTGGGAGATCCTCTGCGAAAAACGAAGTGGGGGAGATCTCCAAAGATGTGGGGTACCTGAAGTATGGGTGTTCTCAGGAGTTTATGGGGGGGTTCCCTGAAGTTCGGGCTTTTTGAGAAGTCGATTAGGGTCTCAGAACAGCTGTGGAGAGTTGTTATGAGGGCTTCGGAACTAGAGGTCTTGTTATACTCCCGTTTTCGGAGGGATCCCGATGTTCTGAAGCCCCAGTTACGTGTCACACTGACCGGCCCCCTCTCCCCCCGTCCCCCTTACCCAGGCTATTCTAACAAGACTGCACTCAGTAAGAGTTTACACTCCAGCAAGAAGTAGAGTTGTACTAAGTTTCAGGCTAGCTGCAGCAATCCCCGACCTAAACACCCCCTGCACCCTGAACCTTAATCACTACACTTCGAAAGTCAACACCCAACCCTTCACCCTCGAACCCTTGCAGAACCCTTGTACAGCCTTTGTAGAAGCCTCGTAGATCCCATATGAACCCCGAAACCCATGCGGCCAAGATGCAAACTTCACGCATTTCGCCATGCTGATGGTGCGGTTGGGAGTCGCCGCCCTGCACACAACTTGAAGGGCATAGTTTAGAAGCTGCCCTCACCCTGTAATAGTGAGTATAAGGATTATATTAGGGCCCTATTATACTCCTATAATACCTCTATTACAGGGTGGGGGGCCCTTCTAAGGCATAGTGCATGTTAGGGGCGCAAACGCTAAGGCTGAGGGGATTCTCTCACCCTGAGACCAAAAGCGCCTGAGCGAAGGCAGCGACAAGAAAGGCGTGCGTGGCAAGTTCAGCATCACCTGTGATGTTGAGGCGGGCTCCTGTTCAAACTACGATTTTACGATAGATTCAGCCGATTCAGGGCTCAGGGTTTCGGGCTGGCAGTTCATGAGATTGAAGGTTCACTGTCTCGGTTGAGCCCAAAAGCACCACAAAACAGCTGCCACATGCTTTGAAGCTCAATGAAAATGTTATGCACGCACGCACATGCATAGACGCACATACATATCTACCTACATACCTACATACCTACCTACCTTCGTACCTACCCTACCCCACCCTACATGCCCGACAGACAGACAGACAGACAGACAGACAGACAGGCAGACAGCAAGACAGACAGACATGCATGCTTACATGCATACATACAAACATGCGAAAAAACATGCATAATGCATGCATACATACACACATACATACATACATACATACAGGGAGAGAATAACAGGTTGATAGGTAGGTAGGTAGAAAGTTCGACAGATCGATTAATATGACTATATATATATATGCATATAAATGACATATGCATGTACGACAAAGAAAATTATGCATACTTGGATATCTAGTTACACAACTACATGTGTATATATATATATATATGTTGTGTATACATACATACATACATACATACATACATACTTACATACATACATACATACATGCAAGAACGTAAGTACGTACATACATACACACACATATATACATACACACATATGTATGTGTATATGTGTATATATATATATACACACACATCTGCATACTTGCATACATGCATGTTTACATGCTCTCATACGTACAAACATATATAACCATGCATACATAAGCATGTACCAATATGTGTGGTTGTGTATATATATATATATATATATACAGAGTTGTTTAGCTATTTCTGTGCTTATTTACTTATGTATGGGTTCGTATTTGTTGTTGCGGCTACATGCTGAGAATATGTGCTTTGTCCTACATGTTCATCTACATAGTCTCGTCTACATATTCGGTGTTGTTCATACTTGTTTTGCAATATGTTGGGTTCAGTATTGCTGTATGCTCACTCATGTGTCTGTTGTCCAAAAGGCATACTAGGAACTTAGTAAATCACGGAACCCAGTCGACTGAAACCGTTGGGTGTTCAAAAGCGCTTTGGAAGCCTGGCCAATAATTGAACCCTAAACGACTACACCCCATTAATAATGCACCCCTAGACGCCTACTCTAAACCTGGATCAACAAAACCCTACACAGCTGGTTTTAGGACTTGTTGAGAAAGGTCTCTGTTTCGAAACTCTATGTATACATACATCTCTACCTTATATGTATGTATGTATGTATGGATGGATGTATGTATGGATGTATGTATATATATATATATATATACGTGCGTATATGTCTACACACCAAACCACGTACATTTAGAAGCATACCCAACAAGTTCAAAGTCTGCCGATTGACGAGGCAACCTGACAAAGTCCCGTGACCACTACATCGCGAAACAAAACCGGCGAAACCTAAACCCTTAACCCTCAAACTCCTATATAACCCCTCGACCCCTACACGCCGAACCCTTGACCGTTCAGCCCTTGCAGTTAGGAATCGAGATGAATTAGGCTGTAATGTTTAGTTTAGGGTCTATTTAGAGTGCGGTGTTTGGGGTTTAAAGTTATTCAGAAGCTTAAGGGTGTAGTGGGATGTACAAAGTGGCCGGTCGCTGATTAGGGTTCGAGCTGATGAAGCTTGCCTTTTCAATCTCCAGCTATCCAACCACCCTCAAGGATCCAACCTACGAAACCGTGTGACGGTAGGCTGCCTTGAGGGTTGCATGTTGGGATCGCTAAGATTTGGCGTTCATACTGATGGCTAAGGCCCACGCCTCCTTCGCGTGCACCTTTTCATTTCCGAAGACAAGTTGCGTGCCATTGGCCTCACGGTTCTAAAGACGCTGCAGGGTCTAATCCCCACTTCCCACGTCCTATCTTTCCACTCTCTTTCAATAAGCAGCCTAGCACATCCTGGAAGAATCGCTAAGTAGCTTCTGTGTACCTAGTAAGACATGAAAAGTGCAACGTGCGGCAACGGATGCCACTAAGCACTATAAACCATCAGCCCCCGCACCCTTAATCTTAAGGAACACTAGCGTGGCCTAGGGCTTTCACGGCTCCAGGTGTCAGGCCTGTGTGCGGTCTTGGAATACAAGTAGGGTTGAGGATTTAGAGGTGCAGGGTCCAATTACGGCGAAAGGCTTCCAAGTTTGGGCATTATGTGTTCTTTTCACTCTACTTACCTTTGGTTAGTAGGGAATGGAGGAATGGGGTACAATTAAAATTACTTTTACTACCATTCTTCCATTCCCTACTAACCAAAGGTAAGTCTAAAAATCGGCTCTACCCAAGACTACCGAGACCCTCACAACGACGGCTTCCAAGATCCGACACAAACAGGGGCGCCTCTGTTCCGGGGCCCTGGGTCAAGACCCCGAAAAGCCTCTTGAACAATCTTCAACCATCCCGAGGCTCGTTTGCCGAATAACTCCCTAAGACTATCATAGTATTAGTATTAGTATGAATATTTCCATTACTATTAGTATTGGTATTCATATTATCATATAGTTTTGATACGGGGGCTACGCTCCGGAGAAACCACAAGGGTCAAGTAAAGCCTGAAACTGCTAAACTCAGGAGCTGCCCTGTCGAACTAACAAGAAATCCCCTTCGTAGTCCCTCTAAATTTCTGCGATAATAGCACCCGCAGCAAAAAACAAAACCTGGCAACCCCCCGTACAACTCCACAGCACCCATAGTTGTTTCTCCAACCTACGCCGCCTACGTTCCAAATTTACAACCCCAAAGGGTCCTTTGTACTGTCATGGGGGATACTTTCCTAAGTCATATTTGTAATTCTTAATATGGAAACCCTACATTCTACTTTCTCGGTGCATAGGACCCTTAGGGAAAAAACTCGGGCTGTCGCCTGCGGCTGTACATCCGTGAGATTCGCGCCAAGGAAGAGCTCACCCCCTCATCGTGGGACTGATTAGAATTGTGATTAGTTTCGCCCCTAAGTCTGAAACAAACAGGCATTACAGGGCCTTAGAGCTTTGAGGGCTGAGGGTTTTGGGTCTCAGGGCTTAAGGGCTGGCGCGCGACATGTTGCTGCGTCCACTTCCGCAGTTCGGCTCTGGCAACATCTGATCTGAATGACCAACTGCACAAGCTCCAGTGAAGCTGTTGACAGTGTGTAGCTTCCAGTCGCAGCAGCATCAGAAAGTGATCCTTACCCACAACGATGTGCGTTCGATGTCCACCTCGAGCTTCTTCGCCGTGGGGATGTCCAGAAGCCAGTGTGGGAAGTGTAGACGTGCGCGACCAGGTGGTCTCGCTAACACAAGGTGAGCTTTGCAGCAACGAAGTTTCGCGACGGTCGAAGCAAGACCGCGACATGGAAGTGATGCATGCCGTCCGCATGCTCTTCTCGAAAGTCGACACGGTTGCGAACCAGCTCAGTAGCAGTTGGGTGGCTCGCCCACGAAGGGTTTATGAGGGCTTGAAGCTGTATGTATATTTACCTAGATTTCGAGGCCTTGATCATGACAGTAGGATTTTACGAGACTGTTGAAATTTGTAGTGGGTGTTTTAACGCTTCGATACTTTGAGAAAGAGCTATTTGACCTATGGGGACTGTCACTTGTGGTTCACTCTCGGCTAAGTGTTGTTGGTTTCCTACCCTCAAAAGCTTAGCAATAACTTACTCCATGGGAAGAGGATACATCACTTCTCCTGAAGACTGTAGATGCTGCTGGGGGATCGGGGTTTCAATTTGTGCACAAGAATTTGGAAACTCGGTTCCCTCTCGATTTCTGCAGATCCGTTTTGTACTGTATGTTTGAAGACAGCATTCGGGATTGTGGGCTTGCGCTTGTTTGGTGGGTCTTATCGTGTGCCACCAGATGTGCTTCTGCATACCCATACAGTATACGGTATACGCATCAAAGGGTTGGGTTTTTGCGATGGTCAACGAACCCTCAGGGAATATGCAAAAGACTTGCTAAGCAGGCTACAGGTATGACATGCCCAGGATATCTCATCCCTGCTCAAAGATCCTATAACAGAACTTGCAACTGAAGAAGACCTTCAGTCCGATGCAAGCCCCTAGACCTTAAACCCTGAATCCTCAATGCAGCTTATTCGGCGCATGGTCGATGTCCAAGGGCTGTCTAGTCGGTGAAGTGTAGACAGACGACTGCAGGAGTTGGGGCGTGAAGACTTGGGGTTATGTAAAGCTAAGCCCCCAATCCTGAATCCGAAAGCAACAACTTTTTTGTTTTCCTTAAAGAGGGCTGGGAAGAGATCATCACACTCCTTAACCCTTCAGCACGACAAGGTAGCATCTTAGCCTCAAACTCGGAACAGCTACAGGACTCCAAGAACCTGGAAGTATGAAGTATCCCTATCTCTCCAAGGACCTCATAGTTAGGGCCCTAGACAGCCTAGACCCCTTAAGGACCCCATAATAAGGTCCCTGGAGGGATAGGGTATGGATCAGCTTTGAAGCGTCAAGACGATCGCGACCATTTGGCACCCGATGTTTCGAATTATGTAGGGTTTCTCGAAGGGACAGTTGTTCTCCACGGAATATTGGAGTCGCGACCCTAAGCCTTGAAGCCCTAAAGGCTGAAACCGCAAGCTCCCAAACCTCCAAAACTCTATACCCTACGAAACCCCACAACCCTGCAGGCCTTGAAGCCCTAAACCCGAGTATCTGGATATCTGCTCATCAGCCTGCAGCCATGATGATCTTCAACATGCCGTCGATGGCGGTCACATACCTGGATCCCACTGGCCCTCAACTGAGGAGTGCTTCGAATGGTTTCACAAGGGTTGTTTTAAGATTTGAAGGGTGCAGTGGGGCTTTTCGAGGTTTAGGGTTTAGGGTTTTCAACAATGGGGTGTTGGAGCGTTTGAGAAGGGCTCGAATTGAGGGATGAAAGGGTTGATTTAGGACTAAGGATCCTCATCGTAGAAACCCGCGACGAAGGCCTGAGACGGATGCTTCCTCGCAGTCAAGTCGCCCAGCCGGCAGACCTTCCGCATCCACGATGCGCCGGAGGGGAGCCGTGTAGTTGAAGTGAAAGGGCGCTGGAAAGTCCTTGCAATGAGCTTTCGGGGTTTCAGTACTTAAGGCCTCCGGGTTCCAAGGTCAATAGGGATGTACCAGGGAGTAGTTGAGCCCAGAAATTAATTAACTACTTCGATTTCACGACCCAAGCGACGGAACTCAATGTAGATCCCTCTGATTCATCGTTGAACCCCCCTCCAAATATCAGGATTGCTTACAGTTTTCTGGGATCCCATCCTAAAGCCCGACAAACAGGGTTGCTGAGCATCATCTCGGGTATCATCCCTAAAAATAAAAATAACTAAGTGTTTTGGGTATGTTCATTGACTCAAAGTTTGCTTGGAGTCTCCGGGAATAGAGGTCCCTCCTACATCTGGCCTGTATAAGTTTCCGAGCCGTTTCCTGCGCATAAGCATGCTGATGACTTTACTTACCAAGTCTGCTGAGCTTTCGACTTGACGTTTAGGCTCACACTTAGACCCCGTGACCCTGGAACTCTACGAGTACCCGTGCAGCCAAACGTCGCGACAGTCCGGAACACCCCTAACACGCCAGAAGACTCAAGCAAAACATGGGAGTTTCCGAAAATAGGGGTGCCTTATTTTGGGCTCCTTGTAATAGAGATCCTACTATTTAGGGTACTATATTAGGGTACCCTATTTTCGGAAACTCCCACATCATCCCTAAACCCTAAGCCCAGCCTCCGAGCCTCCCAAATGCCGGAAAGCTGGATCATTCTGAAGCCCAAGTCATGTTTTTTCGGCTCTGATGGGCTTCCCCAAAGGGTCTCAAGGACCCAGCAGATTAGGCAGTTAAAGGTTTAGGAATGTTTAGGATGCCAGTTATGCAGGTTAGCTGTCGGGAGAGTATGTGTACACTCGGATTTACAATTCAAGCAGAAGGAGTTAGGGGCTTCGCTGTGTCAGGTGTATGCATGTTTCTGTGGGCGTTGAGCTTTGAGAGTTCCTGCGATACTTGGCGTAGCCAAGGCATTTTAAGCGTTTTAAGCTGAGCTTAGCTTTCTGTATCTGTTCTCCTTCTGAGATTGTGAGGAATTCAGGCTTGAAGTTTACTAATTACAGTTACAGTAAACCTACCAATATTCATGCGAGCTTAGCCCGTCATGCATAAAGGTCACGAGCTCAGGCTGCTTTCGTCCAGCCTGATCCGGAAGCTTCCTTTGAGAAGTGCCCTTCAAGCACTCGAGCACGGCATACGAAACTCATGTCTCTGCAATCGGTGGGATCTTGCACATGCTGCCAAAGCCTCATTAGCGCCTCGAGGCCGGGTCTTTCGTGTGCTTGTGCAAATCCTGCGCTCTGCTGCGAGCACTGAAAGAGAAGTTGCTATCTATGCCTGAGCTGGTCCTGTACAGAAGTACTGTCACCACCATACTCAGCATGACCCCAGGTGACGACGGATCCATCTTCCAGAATGGCAGCAAAAGCAGAACCGGAGGCTTGAATCTGCTGCACATTCTTCAGCTGAGTCTGCACAATGCTGCTGTCGCCACCGAGCTCAGCATTACCCCAGGTGACGACGGATCCATCGTCAAGAATGGCAGCAAAAGCGCCGTCGGAGGCTTGGATCTGCTGCACATTCTTCAGCTGAGTCTGCACAGCGCTGCTGTCAGCACCGAGCTCAGAATTACCCCAGGTGACGACGGATCCATCGTCAAGAATAGCAGCAAAGGCAGAAAGAGCGGCTTGAATCTGCTGCACGTTCTTGAGCTGAGCCTGCACAGCGCTGCTGTCGGCACCGCACTCAGCATTACCCCAGGTCACAACGGATCCATCGTCCAGAATAACAGCAAATGCGCGCTCAGAGGCTTGGATCTGCTGCACATTCTTCAGCTGACCCTGCACGGCGCTGCTGTCGCCACCAAACCCAGAATCACCCCAAGTCACAACGGATCCATCGTCAAGAATAGCAGCAAAGGCTCCGCGAGAGGCTTGAATCTGCTGCACATGCTTCAGCTGAGCCTGCACAGCACTGCTGTCAGTACGACCCCATGTCACGACAGATCCATCTTCCAGAATGGCAGCAAAAGCAGAATGAGAGGATTGAATTTGCTGCACATTCTTGAGCTGAGTCTGCACAATGCTGCTGTCGCCACCGTACTCACCATCACCCCATGTCACGACAGATCCATCGTCAATAATGGCAGCGAAAGCGCCGTAACGAGTGCCTTGAATCTGCTGCACATTCTTGAGCTGGGTCTGCACAGCGCTGCTGTCGCCACCCTCGACAGCATCACCCCAGGTCACAACGCATCCATCGTCCAGAATGGCAGCAAAGGTAAAACCAGCTTGAATCTGCAGCACAGTCTGCAACTGACCCTGCACAGCACTGCATTCGCCACCAAAGCCAGCATCACCCCAGGTCACAACCGATCCATCGCCAAGAATGGCAGCAAATGCGCCAGCAGTGGCTTGAATTTGAACCGTGTTGTGCAACAAGGTCAGGGAGTCACCATTCTGCACCCTGGCTTTCCTTATCGGCAAAGTTCCTTGCAAGACGACTCCAGATGAATCCAGGAGCCGCCCTGACCCGACCCCGAGTGCAACCTGTGCCCGTCGTTTCAATGTTGCCACCGTCTCATCCGAGGCTGCTTGCACAGTGGCTTTCTTGCCGCTGATCAACCCAACTTCCACGTGAATCGACATGTTGGGAACCGGCAATATGCGATCCCTCACCTTTGTACCATCAGGATTCTGGACTTGCAAGAAGGATCCAACTATTGAAAAGTATGTCTTCGCATTGCTGGGCACGCCGACCCATCTTTGAGGCTTTCTTTCACTAGTCACTAGTGTCCCACGGAAAGAAAGCTTGGATTGAACCATGTCGCGAACCCAAGTCCATGCAGAGCTTTATTTACGGGCTTAGGCTGAAGGGCATATGGTGTAAGTGCGCAATAGTATGCAGATTGAGCAGGGTGCAAATACTTCCGACAAGCTTCTGCAAGCCTATGCCGCAGGCCTTAACGCCGAAGTGTGTTCGAAAGATTCGACAGCTCATGAGTCCTGAACCATAAGGGTCCATGTTCCTATAAGGGGTTCGTTTGATGGCTAGCCAAGCTCTACAGGGTTTACTATAGTGTTCTGTATAAAGGTTGTATAGGCTTTAGGGCTAACCTGGCGCGGTGTATGGGCTTCGGGAGCTGAATAGTGGTTCTGTAGCACAAGGTCTTGGTGGTCTTGTACTCGCAACACTTTGCCGGGAATCCAATCAGGGACGTATTAGTCGTGACTCAGCGCTCTACATGGCGAGAAGGTCGTCCTGCTTCTGGCCGGACCAACTTCTTTTTCGGAAACCCACAGCAAGGTTGAGCAAGCTCACGGAGAGGAGCTGCAACGGCTCAGCTTCGGCCGTGTTGCGAAAGTATGAGCCCTCCAGGTTTCAGGCAAAAAATAATCGCAGATCTGGCTTCCTGCTTTCGTGCCATTGGAACCATTCCAAACATAATATGTGCTGACAACCCCTTGGAGTTATATAAAGGTAAATGATATGTTTCAGGATACCAAACTAACAAGTTTGCCTTAAGAAGCACTTATACCAGTGCTACAGCATGAATGAAACACTAGAAGGAACCCTATAAGCAGCGACTTATAAATCGCGAAAAGCCCAACCCTCAACCCAAATCCTTGGGGCACGGATTGCAAAAGCCCAAGCCTTGAAACCGAAACTGTTGGTGAAGGGATTTTGGAGTCTCCATGCGGTCCTTTGATGCTGGCGGGCAGTCCGGCTCGTAGCAAGCGGTTGGAAGTCCCAGGACCTTCCAAGCAGGGATTTCTAAGGCTTGGTGCTACTTTCTACGCCGGAGTTCGGGAGTCTTTGGGTTTTAGAGTCTGAACCCTAAACCCTTATAAACCCTAAACCCTTGTAAACCCCAAACCCTGTGTGGATCGACGTTATAGTCGGGCAGGATCCCTCAGTCTAACGGATGCTGAACAACAGGAACCAAGGGCCAAGGGCCTTCAAAGGGTGCTATAGGGTCCCTGTGGTGTTCCCTGGGAGTCTAGTACTTGTACGGTAAGTCGGGACGGGGAACCCTGATTCAGGGATATGAGCCTAACACCTCGTAAGCTTGAAGCTTAAGCTCCAGGAAGTTCGTGAACCCCACGAACTTGCCTATGCGGTTTGCGGAGTCGGCCAGGTCGGGCTCATGCATTTGCAGAAACCGCATCTAAATACGAACCACCCCATACCCCTAAATCCTGAACTTTATGACCCAACCCTGAATCCCGAGTCAAGACCCTAAACTCTAAAACCCCGAATCCCTCATAAAAATGCCCTTGCCCGACAAGTAAACAAACTCATGAACTTCTCACGCTGAATATTAACTGCTGCAGCCTTAGCTCTACATGCCAGACACCTCCCGACAAGACACACTAAACTTCTCGCTGCAGACACAACACGTCCAATACCGGAAGATAAGATACTGGTGCCTTGGACCACATGGTGCCTGAACCCAACTCCCTGAACCCTAGCACTGAAGCTCCCAGGAACCTCATGCAAATCCTGAATCCCTCCACAGCAGCTCCTGAAAGACCCTAGCCACTGAGCACCTCTACTTGGAGGTGCAGGGTTCGTGGTATCGAGGTATTTACGACTTACTTAGAAACATATTCCTAAGACTTCAGAGGTCCAGTCATTCTAGGCCAAATATTGCTACCTATGTTGCGTTATGTTATGTTGCTCCAAAGCATAGTTCTCACCACTTCAACAATGGGCCAAAACAGGGCGGCAAGCGTATATGCTTCCCTTGCAAATTAAGCTGGGCTACAGTGTCTCACGATGCACGTATACACCCCCACGCTCAGCCCTCCCCACTGTCGAGTACACATCTGAAGCAAAATACAAAGCAGCGGAGAATGGAACAGTTGCTGCGATGTGTCTGCTCAAACTGCCAAGCTAAACAACGATGCACTTCGGCACATGAGACTATAGTCACATGTCTACACCCTGGTTTCCTTGCTGGCCGCAGAGAGAATCAGCGGATGGATGCTTGTCGGCTTGACTTTGCTCAAGCACGCACTGCCGCCTTGTGTTCCTCCACGGACTCTGTCGCCAGTGCCCTCAGGAGAGGGACTTCGCTGATCATAGCCATGGTATCTTGCAGAGGGAGGGTGGTCACTGAGGACACCTGGCCCCTGTTCGCCTCGATGCATTGCTGGCCGTACTTCTCAGGGTGAGAACGGTGAGTGAATTCAGCTTTGCCCTGCACGTCCTCTGACCGACGTATGATTAGCCTTTGAAACCCTAAACCCTAAACCCTAAACCCCTAAACCCCTAAACCCTAAACCCTAAACCCTAAATCCCTAAACCCCTAAACCCTAAACCCTAAACCCTAAACCCCTAAACCCCTAAACCCCTAAACCCTAAACCCCTAAACCCCTAAACCCTAAACCCCTAAACCCTAAACCCTAAACCCTAAACCCTAACCCCTAAACCCTAAACCCCTAAACCCTAAACCCCTAAACCCTAAACCCTAAACCCTAAACCCTAAACCCCTAAACCCTTCGGATCCACCCCCCCCCCCCCCCCCCCCCCCCCCACGAGGCGGCCCGGCCTTCAGAATCACATCGCCGGGAAGGTGCATATCCTGCCGGTTTATAGGGTTTACGTAGGTTTATAGTTGATAGAATTTATAGAATTTATAGAATTTATAGTTTATAGAATTTATAGAATTTATAGATTTATAGTTTATAGAATTTATAGAATTTATAGATTTATAGTTTATAGAATTTATAGAATTTATAGATTTATAGTTTATAGAATTTATAGAATAAGATGTACCAACAGTGCTGCCTCTATGAGGAAACCTCTAGATGATGTTCCTTGCCGCGTTGAGGGCTATCGTTAAACAGACTTCGGAAGCTCACCAGTGGAAGAAGCAGCAAGGCTTCAACTCCGCATAATGATCAAGTGTGACGACGTACCTCTTCTGGGGCTTGTAAGAAGATCCATGCCTAGAAACCCTCCCTCATAAGCCCCTACTATCGCGAATGCTGACCGTTGCTCAGTAGCTCATATACTCTCCAACATGCTAACCATGAAGTCTAAACTCACACACATGATTATTGAATCTGGTACTGTGGACCCCCTAGGGCTAAACCTGAAAGCCCCCCCCCCAGACCAGCTGATTACTTCAATAATCAGACCATAGTCAGCTGCTAAAAAGTAGACTCTCCAGGACTCCCGGACAGAGAGTCGTAAGGCAATCCAGAGCTCTAAAAACTCCAGAACCGTAAACCATGAAGAGTATAGCCTGCTCCGGATAAAGGAACATTCCTCACATCATAGGGGACTGTACTTTGTGCAAGTCAACGATCAGAACATAGTGACCCGAACAAGCCCTAAGTAGCAGGCTCCTTACGGGTTCAGCCCCATGTAGGGCTCCAGGAATTCTGAAAACCCATAATTTCCTACTAAAGAGATTTTGGGAGTCTTTGCCCGTTCTCCGTTTACCATCTACTTGCTGCCCGAGCGGCTGGGGAGAAGCGGTAGGCGCCGACGTCAAGAGTAAATGGCTCCTATAGCAAAGGACTTGCAGCTTCCTAGCGAGCGTAGTTAAGAAAAGACACCTTGTACTATCGAGCGATCTTGCTTGCGGCTTTGAGGTGCATGGCTTAAATGAGGTTGTGGGGCTTGTGTACCTTAGGGGGAAACAGAGGGTGTACTGCTTACCGGGCTTAAGGATTAGGGTTTCTACATCAGTCGGACAATGGTCCTTGGCTTATAGCCCCTAAACCCTAATCATTAAACTTAATGTGAACCCTTCATAACAGACCTCGCACTCCTCTAGGTATGCCCTCGGGAGGCTCGGGAAACTGCTGAGAAACCCCCTTGTGTCTCGTTAGCTTCTCAGAAGTCCGAATTATTTCGGAAGATGTCTACATGATGAGAGCCATCAGGTTTAGGCGTTAGGGCTGTTTCGTTCCTCAATGCTCGGAAATGAAACACGACGAGTGACGCATGACAAAGCAACGTTTGGTATCGGTCCTGCCGCACAGGCAACTACGCAGGCCCCCTATACAGGATTAAGGACAAAGAGCTCTCGAACAAGGCGCATCTTGCCTCACCTACAGCAGTGATACCTGTTGGGGGATCCTATATTATTCATCCAGGCACGTGACAAAACACCCCGGCATTAGCTAAGAGTTCCAAAACCTGAACCCCAAATCCAACAGCCCAGAAACACTAGGAATGAGACCAGGGTATCTGAATCAGAGTCTTACATAAGAAGCAGGGTCGCATTGGGCCTGCTTCTTCCCTGCCACCAACTTGTGGGAGTAAGTGCCTCGGTGCGCGAAAACCGATCTTTGGTTATGGCTTCAGGGCTTGACAGCCTGATTTGGGTTAGACACGTTAACAATGATGGTGACCTTTCCATAAATATCGCCGTCCGCTATCCTTCCACTATTTCACGGCTGCGGGCCTTACCTCAGGCTTCTTACGGTTGTAGGCGAACTTTTCTTCGGAAGTCTAAGGCTTCTTTTAAGAACACCCAACAATGTGACAAGTACTCGTCTAGTCCCACAGAAAAGTCTTCTCAACACCCTCTCTACAGCCTGTGTGTACCACGCAGAACCTGTAGAGACTCTGGACTCTAGACCCTGTTTGTGCCGAGCCGCGCCCACCGACCCGGTGGGACGCTTCGAAGATGCAGACCTTCCGGTGAATAGGACAAGCGGGAATGCCGAAGGCAAAAGAGGTGCAGGTTCAGGATACATTTCACGGACGTAGTAGTGTTTCGGGAATATACCGTGTTAATTAGATTCCTAGGCTAATGCTTGGCCAGGGCTTTACTCGGAGGCGCGGGATACTCACAAACTAGCTACGAATTGCAGCCATATCCTACAGTCCTATACCTACAAAGGTTTATTAAATCTCGTCCCACAGGATACGTTTATTTATTGTTGTAGGATCCACAACTAGAGGCTGAAACTTTGCCGAGCTCTCGGGACCCTCGAAACCCCTGCGAGCAGATTCAGCAACAACCACCTTCCCCGCGAGCACTTCCCGAATAGTCTGGTGCCGATGGCCGTCGGCATCATCTCCATGTACTTGAAGGCTACAGGGGTAGTCTGCAGTTCAAAAGGAAGTGCTTTCTTGTAGGGGCACTTTGACCGAACCCAACTTGGACATGTTGCGCATAAACTATCCCACGTAGCGAGTAGTTTGTAGATGCGGGGGTGATAAGAAACCTGTACTTAGGTCCAGTAGCAACATCGACCCCACGCTTGTTTCGCAGATCCCCGGTCCTCAAAGTACATGCAAGCTGGTACACAGAAGCCTGGAAAACTACCTCATAGATTTCAGCGTCATCCACCGCATTCTGCTGTGAATGAATACAACGTCGGCAGGATCTAGTGATGTACTGCATTGTACTACTGTATGCCAGGTTCATGTACGGAATACACTCAGCCACAAGCTTACAACCCAAAGACTCCACAATTCACAACAAAGAAACTGCTGAGTCATAATTCAGAAGGAACCCTATGCCGTTTCAGAAAACACAACTGCGACACAGCTGAGTCATAATTCGGAAGGAATCCTATGCCGTTTCAGAGAAACGAACAACTATGGGATTGTGGAGTGGCCTTCGATCCCAACAGGGTTCGTCGGAACGCCGTGTAAACCTGACGACCCAAGCAGCTGAAAGAGTCTAGGCTTTAGGCTTTGGGGGCTTTAATGGTCTAAGGGCTCAAGGGTTGAGGTTCTAGGGATCTAAGGGCTCAGGGGTTTAGGGTTTTGGGTTTACAGGTTTAAAAGTTCAGCTTTAGGATTCTGCAAGGCTTCCGAAGATGAAGCCCTCGACTTGGCGAGTCTTTGCCCGTATGGGAGAAAGGGGATACCTTTTTAGGAGTTCCACTTCGGATCCTTTCAAAAAGAAACACTGGAAAGAGCCCCGAAACCCTAAACCCGCCGGAACCTTTAAGAGAAACCCCTGGCGTCCCTTCAAGGAACGATCCCTAAGTACTAAGGGGCCCGGGTATCGCAAGGATAGAAAAATGGACAGATCCAGACCCCAGGGTTAGCGTCCGAGGTTTAGAAGTCAGGGGTTCCAGAAATTCAAAGGTTACCCAAGAAACCCTTAAGAAACCTAGATTTCAAGGGGCTCTACGGCGTGTTTCCTTATGGCAAGACTGTTGGGGCTCTACGGCGTGTTTCCTTATGGCAAGACTGTTGGTGTAAGGGTGGCTGACCAAAAACATCCCAAACCCCAAAATGTTTTGGGACACAGCAAGCATAGACGTGGGAACTGCAAGAAGATATGTACTGCATACTCATCTTTTGAGTCTTGCGTGATTGCTCCAAGGTCTCATATCGTCCAACAATCAGGCCTTGTGCTATAGAGAACCCAATAGCACGTAATGAAGTATTCGACTCAAGTTACTTCAAGTTCAATCTTGTGTGCTCCTTGATACAACTCAAACGACGGTCCTCTGCGTTGTAGAAGAAGCATAGCCCAAGAACTGGACAACTAGGCTGAGGGTTGAGCAATGGAGTGAATGCGTAGATGCATGTATAAGTATGTATGGATGGATGGATGCATGCTTTTCTTTACATAAGTACACACATGTGTACATATCGCTCTAGTGATCTAGGTTGCAGACAACATTGGTTACTTCCTGGTGATAGCTGCATGCTCTCACTGATCTCGGGCAACTTCTGATCCATGATAATTGCTAGTTCCTCTTAGTGTGTATATCAAGAACATGCGAGTATGGGAAATCTTCACAGCATTATGCAGCTGATCTGAAAGCCCCACCAGAAGTACCGATAGCCTCTATACAACTTTTCAGAAACACGACAAATGCCAGTGAACACTTAGTTGGGTTGCCTACGATGTATATGGTGTTTATGTACAACAAGAACTTAGAGTTGTTCGTCAGGACTGCTTAAAGAGGATCAGGGGACGCAGAAAGGATAATATGATTAAGGCATATGAAGGTACATACAACCAAACTTACTAAGTCCCCTGATCCTCGAAGGCCCTAGGTATACTGTACAAGCCTAAATAAACTATCGATACCATTCCTCGCGGTTCCGTCTTTCAAGCATACCTTCCAGCCCGGAACCCATTCCAACTGCTAAAGCTAAAGCTCTTTCTACGTGCTCTGCACTACCTATAGTCTCCATTGTAGTTCCTTTTTCTTGGTTAACCAGTTTTATGGTTAGGATCCTGTAATAGGGAACTACAATGGAGACTATAGGTACCTCTTGGACTCCAAGTGCTTCCGAGGAGCGCCGGCCCAACCAGCTCCGATGCTCACGACATCACAGGAGGCAGGCAATGCTGCGGCCTTGGGATTCTTAGGGTTGGGTCTTGGTTTAGGGTTTAGATTTTTTAAGCTCCTTTTAGAGGGTATAGGGTTTAGGGCTTGGGATTCTTGGGGTGGGGTCTTGGGGGTTCAGGCATCTAGGTCTTCGGGGTCTTAGGGGTGTTGGGGCTTCACTGTTTTAGGGTCTGCCTTTTGTGGGATGGGCGGATCTAGGTTGCAGTCCTGCTGCCAAGGGGCAGGGCAAAAGCACTGAATGGAATGCTACAGCCCTTAACTGCAGGGCTCAGAGCCGGAGTCGCCTATTCACTGTAAAGTGCCCTAACCCGTTCAGAGGCCGACGAAGTTAACTTCCAGAGGTAAGAAGTAAGAAGGGCTATAGAAACAAAAAGTTGTCGAGGAGCGTATACGGCCGTGGACTTGACCCTCGAGGAAGCAGGCCTAGTTATCACACGGGGGGACAGGAATCATGAAGACAATTCTTGGCAAGTATAGTGTTGGGCCATTCCGAAAACCAAAAGCTCCTGGCATCAGAGCTCCTTGGAAGACTCCCTGAAGCCATGCAACATATAAGCCCAAAACCCCAATTCGTATAGATCCTAACTCGCGACGGCCCTCCATCTTCCGTCGAGATGCCTGCTGCGCCAGCGCAAGGCAAGCGCCCACAAGGAGAATTCGCGCCATGTTTGGATCAGATCCCACCGGCCCCTTTCTCCCGGCTGAATTGTGGAAAAGTCTGCGGAGTGTAGCTGAGAGCACCACAAACTCCAAAACCTGAATCCTCTCTCCTTCCTTGTCACACTCCTTATGAACCCAATGTACTTTGATTTCCTTCGGGGTAGATGCTCCTGTTCCGGATCAGGCTGCAGACACACTGAGGTTCCAAGTTCATATGACTTGGTCTGCCAGTTATACATAGTCACTATGGGTCGAAGTACTCCCGAGAACACTAACCTGAAAGTACCACTACACAAAGGCTCACAGGAACTATTGTGCTTTGAAACCGTCGTGTTGGTTTAGGGTACAGGGTCTCGGCAGCTCGGGCGGCAACTCGTGAGATTTGGTCGGCTATGTCTGCACGGGTGAAAAGGGCGTCGCAAAAGATATCCAAGATACAGTACGGCTCAGGTCATGCACCGTAGGTACTCGCAGCGCCTCCTGAAAAACTACTTAGATGTCCAGTTTATAGTATAAGCCCGCGACGTTAAGCTTCCAGTTTTGTAGGTCCTGACAAGACGAAATGGTGCTAAAAGCGGGCCTACAAAGCCCAACTCGCCGATTCTCTGTTCGTAGGGTTGGTAAATTGCAGACGCTATGCCCACTCTCGCAGTTACTCTCACGCACTGATCCCTGGATCGTTTTGCTCCAGTGGTGCACTGTTCAGGTGAATGGTTGGTGCGGGGCGGTGGCTGAGTTGGCCTAGAGTAAGGCGTAAGGATCTTCATTTCTTGGCAGCCACGGCGAAAGTATATGTGCTGACCGGGACGGCGGGACTCTTCCAGAGCTTGCCATGGTCACTGGAGACTCTCATGACAGCGCCACCGAGAAGGTTGACAACGAGGGAGCCCGTGTTCTGCATGCCCTTGAGCACCGGGGTCTCTCTCTTCTCCTCCAGGTCTTGATAGTCCTCTTCAGCCGTGCAAGACGAGAGCTCGTACTGCTTGATGTCGTCCGCCTTGAGCTTCGTGTAAGTCGTGGACTCCGTAAGGAACCCCGTGGCACAGGCCACAGAGTATCGCTGGGATCGCACGAAGTACTGGGGATGCCACATGCCTGCTTTCACATAGCATGCATAGTGCACGAACATGATGCCGTTAGGCATGTCGCTCCTCCCCAACCCCGTGCTTGATCCACCCGACTTAGATTTCTCTGCAATGTAAAGATCCAACTCGCCTCCGCAAAGATCTGCGGTGTCCCAATCCCAACTGTGCTCAAGGTTCTTGGCGACCTCACGGAATGCAGCAGCGTGGAACGGCACGACAAAACCGCCCCGAGCACATGAAATGAACTCATCCGAAAACGCATGGCGCTTCGCAGGCTGGAAATACTGATGCTGCTTGAGGTTGTACTGGTTGCTGGCACGAAGTTGACCGCCTTCAAAAGCCATTCTGTCAAGGACTCGACAGCGCCCCGTTAAACGTCTTAAACTCGACTATAGACACTTCTCTGCGACTCCTCTAGCGACTTTCCAACAGCAATTTGAGATCCCCTCGCTCTCGCTGTGCGCTGTCCCTCGGGAGTGAGCGGGGAACATCATGGCAGTATTGAACACCTCGTCTCACGAGATGAGTTCGCGGGTCAAGAGAGCTTTACACTAGGTTTCGATTTGCAAAGTGGTCGCTTATGTTAGAGACAGTCAAGGATGGAATGAAGATGCCAACAAAATAGAAGTGTAGTCTCTCTGCAAACCCTGCGGCTGCACATCGCCGCCTGCCCGCGTACTAGCATGGTTAGGGGTTTCGGGCTACCTCTGCCGACTCCTGTCACAGATCCGGTCCTTACTAGGTGCTTTGGAGCCAGGGTGCATGGTGAATAAGGATTGAAGGTCCTGAGGTCCTAAACTGCCCTAGATGCAAAACTGCAAGCCCACCCCAGAAACCCTGAACCGAAAATCTCAAAGCCATGAACCCCAAGACCCCTAACGTAAAAGCCAGAAAGTTGGAATATGACTATCCTAACCCCTTTATGGTAAATTTTTGGGTATCCTACCCTGAAACCATATTCCAACTTTCTGGAGATCCCTTTAAGCCCTAGGGCACGAAGCCCAAGGCCCCGAGCCCCTTCGCAGCTGCTTTTTCCTTTGTGGAAGCAAAGTTTCAAGCAATGTTTGCTTGAAGTTGCAAGGCGACTTCTTCCTTCAGATCCCCTGGTGCAGTCGCAAGGTTTAAGCTAGTTACTATACAAGTACTGGCATGATACTGGGTACTAGTCGTGTTTTAGGCTTAAGGCAATGCGTATAGGCTCTTTCAAAGGTAGCGCTACGTAACAGACGTCATAGGTTTCCCTAAACCCTAAACCCTAACCCTAAACCCTAAACCATATCAGGGAGTCCTAGCGCTCCAGAGACTTGGCGCCGTCCCAGCTTGAGAACTTGCCTGGCAACCCGGCCGGCCGCAATTCTTCAGAAGCCCCAAAGCATCTGTAATGTTCCGTTGTAACTTATAACCCATATAGAGCTGCAGCACAATTAATTTACAGAACATATATCAAAACACTGCGTACTCCGCCGCAGAGAGGGGCTTACAGGGCTTGTCCATGGCCCCTGTTTCAGTTTCGGCTAGAAACTAGCACATAAATCTGTGGCAATGTTCTAGAGGCCCTGCCGTTGGAGGTTTAGGAGTCTAAAGTTTGAGCTTCTAAGCAGGGGCTAAGTGGGGGATGTGTTTCGTATGGGTCCTTTAGTTGTCGGAGAAACTCTCAAATGAGTGGATGAAGGCATGGATAGAGGCTTACGAGATGAGCCTGCAGTTATCCTTTAGATGTAGCCTGCGAAAGATAGAACAGGGTTTGGGAGTCTTCATGCGTGCATGCAGTAGCGATCGGGACTACAATGAACAATCGTACCGGTTGTAAAGGCTCCAGGTTTGGGATTCCTCCGTGGATCAGAAGTCGGAAGCCGCCGCAGTCGGAATTGCGTGGGTACATTGCCCGCAACGCTCAGTCTCTCTCTATCTTAACTATCGCCCGACACCGCTCAGCGATCCCACACGAGCTTCTGCGAATGCTGCCTAATTGTTCACTTTAAACCCACACAATACGAGCTACTTTCACAATTCCTTGCATGATGGCCTTAGTTCAGGGATCCCGTGCAAGCTACAATGCAAGCTACCCGAACTGCGAAGTGGCTCTATACCCTATAATTTGGTCGAAATCCAGAAGCCACCGAGCTCCTCAACACCCACGTACATCTAGCCATCAAAACTAAAACCAAACACCGGTTGAAACTCCAATCCATGCTTGACTTTACTTGTGCTGGGCTTAGCTTAACCCTTCACCTTTGAACTCTAAGCGATAACACCAGACCTTACAAGCAACATCCGTCATCTCGACACCATCACCGCCTCCACTTGCATGTATTGTTAGAGTATCAGCCACCATACTGTGGAGTTAGTTGCTCAAGGACCGAGCCCCAAGCTGTCTTGCCGGTGTACTCTGCACTTGAAATACCCCACATCCGAGAGTACAATCCAGCACCCTAAGCCTCAGGCCCGAGACATGTCCTCTTCAGGAACCCGCTGTGCACAAGGAAGGGCTTTGATTTGAACCCCTTCTATCCTATTTGGCCCCATTTATCATTTTCTAGGATATCCAGTAACCTAAGAATAAAAAGGCCTCTCTTTTTGGTATTGGGTAACTTTATAAGGAACCTAGGACTACAAAAAGGGAATAAGGGTACTACTGGGCATCCCAGTTTTCTCTCCGGACACAGGACTGGTATAAACAGCACTCCAAAGCTTCTGGCCTGGGCGTTATACCCTGCAGCAACCGGCTCTCAGGGGAAGATCGCAGCTATCGGCTGGGACACCAGGCGCCCTCCGACTCCAGCGAGTCACCTTTGGCAATCTTGACACAAAGAGAGCCTACATAATGGTGCTGGTAGTACGGAACCCCAAAGTCTGTACTATAATACCAGTACTAGCTATGTAATTCGTTGAATATATCCCGAACAAGAGGAGTTTTATCACGAACTAACCTAGTCGTCTAATTCACCTTTGGAGCAAGGTCAATTCAGTTGCAACAGACTTTATATGTCGAGTTTAGGGTCCAGGCTGCAGCTCCCAGCTAAAACCTGAGCGGAAACGATGGTTATGTACAGCAGAACCGGTGGACAAGAACCTTCACAGCTCCTCCACGCCATATTTTGCAATGCGAACAACCCGACCGGTAGAGAGCAGATCTCAAGAGAAGCGACAGTTGGAACGACAAATCTTGACTGAAGTCTTAGCCTGAACCCCAGCTCCAAATAGTCTACTTCAAGAGTCTCAAGTTTCCGCTTGGGAAGGTCTGAATCCGAAATCGCCACAGGATCTCAGGACTCTTGGTGTTGGGGGGGGGGATAAGTTCTGAATCCCCACATCCTACACCCAAAGCCATGAGCCAACAACCCAAGCCCACTGCAGCCACGGTGCAGTACGCCTTGCTGTTGGCCTGGGCTCAAGACAGCACTGGAGGACCGAATGCCAGTTCTTGTGAAACTCTTGTCCACGAATAAATGAAACGCCGAACCCCCCGAAAATATGAACGACCATGAGCTGCCCATAGCATTGGCAACTCTTCTGCAAGCAGAACCTGGGGAGGACAAGTCAGAATGCCAAAACAGAACCGCTCAACACACCAACAAGTCTCGGCCCGCTCCCCCCGAACACCCACCCCCCTCCAAGCCCAAATCCTTGCTGCACCCTTCTACCCAGAGGCTCCAACGTAGTTCCTTTTTGGGGTTACCTTATAGGATTCTAATTATGAATCCCAAAAAGGAACTACTATGGAGCCTATGGGTCAACCCAAATGCCAGCAGAAGTTCTTTCACCAGTCACCGGGTCATTGTTGCAGACGCATTGGGCTTAAAAACTGGCTGGTGCCCTTAAACCGACATCCACAAGCCGTGAACCTCCATCTCCTATACTAGAACTTTGTGGGCCAACCCATATTCTACTATCCTCAAGACTTGTAAGCCCCTCCAAATCTGCAAAGTTTAAACATGTAATGGCCCCTACACCCTAGAAACCTCTAATCCTCTCCAGAACCCTATACCCAGAGGCTCCAAAGTAGTTCCTTTTTGGGGTTACCTTATAGGATTCTAATTATGAATCCCAAAAAGGAACTAGTATGGAGCCTACGGGTGGGGTTTGGGATGTATAGAAACCCTAAACCCTAAACCCTAAACCTCTAAACCCTAACTCCTTAACCCTAAACCCTAAACCCTAACCCCTAAACCCTAAACCCTAAACCCTAAACTGCAACAGGGCCGCGAAGGACGCACTCTCTCCGCGCCGCCAGCGGGCGCCCGTCGAGTCGGTGCAGCCCTCCTGGAGAAACTTAGGGAGGCTTAGGGTTTAGGGTTTAGGGTTTAGGGATTAGGGTTTAGGGATTAGGGTTTAGGGTTCAGCAGCTCTGGTCGAGCAGTATCTAGTCAAGTTCGCTAGTAAGAACCTGGAAGAATACCCACCCACCCAAAGAATCCCAATACATAAGAGTTAGAAAAAATTTTTCGTTACCCTCAGACGACATCAAACCTCAAACCCTACGCCTTGATTTCTAGCATATACTTATGTTTCTATTGCTGCAGTACAGAAAGAAGCATGACACATTTCAGGCCGGAAATGTGTCATTTTTTCCGCCTTACAGAGAGTCATCGTTTCCGCCTTACAGAAAGAAACATGAAACATTTCAAGCCGGAAATGTGTCTTTTTTTCCGCCTTACAGAAAGAAGCATGACACATTTCAGGCCGGATATGTGTCATCTTTTCTGCCTTACAGAAAGAAGCATGACACACTAAAGCCCAAACCCTAGGCCCTAAACCCTAAAGCCCAAACCAAAGGCCTTAAACTTAAAGCCCAAACCCTAGGTCCTAAACCCTAAAGCCCAAACAAACCCTAGGCCTTAAACCCTAAAGGCCAAATCCTAAGCCCTAAACCCTAAAGCCCAAGCGCTAAACCCTAACCCTAAAGCCCTAAACCCTAAAGCCCAAAACCCTAAACCCTAAAGCCCAAGCGCTAAACCCTAACCCTAAAGCCCTAGGCCCTAAACCCTAAAGCCCAAAACCCTAGGCCCTAAACTCTAAAGCCCAAACCCTAGGCCCTAAACCCTAAAGCCCAAACCCTAGGCCCTAGGCCCTAAACCCTAAAGGCCAAACCCTAGGCCCTAAACCCTAAAGCCCAAACCCTAGGCCCTAAACCCTAAAGCCCAAACCCTAGGCCCTAAACCCTAAAGCCCAAACCCTAGGCCCTAAACCCTAAAGCCCAAGCGCTAAACCCTAAACCTCAAAGTCCTAGGCCCTAAACCCTATAGCCCAAACCCTAGGCCCTAAACCCTAAAGGCCAAACCCTAGGCCCTAAACCCTAAAGCCCAAACCCTAGGCCCTAAACCCTAAAGCCCAAACCCTGGGGTCCTGACGAAAACCTGGTGCAACACTGGTGGGACCAGTGTTGCACCAGGTTTCCGTTGACGGAAACCTGGCTCAACACTGGGGGGTCCTGACGGAAACCTGGCTCAACACTGGTGGGGTCCTGACGGAAACCTGGTGCAACACTGGTGGG